GGGATTTCAGGCGTGAGCCGCTGGGCCTAGCGGGAAACTGGGACCTTTTGAACAGGGTTATGATGGCATCAGTGAGGAAGGGTGCGTGACAGCACATGGCTGTGAGGGGCACAGAGCATGGCACAGGCCCTGTGACCCAGCTCAGGTTATGAAACCGAGCGGGGAGCCGCACAGGGCAGCATTCCCTGTGTCTTCTTGCGGGGAGTCAGCCCAGAGCAGGTACCTGCAAACTGCCAGCTTTAATGTCTGTCTTTTATTATTAATTTGTCCATTTAAATGGGAGAGAGGGCTGGAGGCCCCGATCAGCCCAGGAGGATTGTGGTCAGGACTGCTGGGAGCCAAGCACCCCTGTTTTCCTCCTCACACATTTGGAGAGAAAACTCACTGAATAAATAATTATGTTTTAAAAAATTCTTGAGAGTTCAGTGAATGGGGATGTGGGCTGCAACAATTGAGAAAGACGTTAAGAAGAAAATGTAAGCTAGGTGTAGTGTTTCATGCCTGTAATCCCAGCGACTCAGGAGACAGAGGCAGGAGAAAGTGTGAGTTCCAGGCCAGTCCAGGCAATATTTGCCAGATCCTATCTGAAAAATGAAATAAAAACAAAAGGGCTGAGGTCACAGCTCAAGTGGTAGAGGGCTAGACATTGTGGTACACACCTGTAATTCCAGCACACTCATGCTGAGGCAGGAAAGTAGCAAGTTCGACATGAGCCTAGGCTAAATAGTGAGACCCAGTCTCCTGAAAAAAACAGTAACAAGCAAAAAACCAATAAAACCAACAAAACAACACCCTGCTCCCCTCCCATGTAGGATTCAGATGAATGGAGAAGAATTACACTCCTGGCAGTGGGTAGGAACAAGCGCAGTGAATTCTGGAAATTGGGAGGGCATGCCAGCTGGTAGGAGCCCTAAGACTGGACAGGAAGAGTAAACTCAAAATCATGATCGTACAGGATGCTGCAGGTGGCTCACGCCTGAATCCTACCTACTTGGGAGGCTGAGATTGGGAAGATTGAGGTTTGAGGGGTCAGCCTGGACAATAGTTTTCCAGACCCCAATCTCCAAAGTAATCAGTGAAAAATGGACTGGAGGTGCGGCTGAAGGGATAGAGCGCCCGCTTTGCAAGTGCAAAGCCCTGAGTTCAAAACCTCAGTCCCACAAAAAAAAAATCAGGAAGCTGGGTATCAGTGGCTCACGCCTGTAATCCGAGCTACTCAGGAGGCAGAGATCAGGAGGATCGAGGTTCAAAATCAGCTGGAGCAAATAGTTCAAGAGACCCTATCTCAAAAAAACCCATCACAAAAAAGAGCTGGTAGAATGGTTCAAGGTATAGACCCTCAGTACAAGCTCTGGAACTTTGAAAAAAAAATCATAATTTTTGTGTGCAACTGAAATCAATGAAAGTTTCAGAGCAGGAAACTGACAGTTTCCTCTCCCCACATTTTTGTTGTTGTTGTTGTTGACATTTTCAAGATGTTAAAATCTTATGTCAATAAGCTATTGTTATTTATTTTGGCAGCACTGGGATTTGAACTCAGGGCCTCACACTTGTTAGACAGGTGCTTTACTGCTTAAGCCACTCCTCCAGCTCTTTTTTTTGTAATTTCTTTTCAAGGTAAGGTCTCTTACTATTTGCCCTGGCTGGTCTCAAACTGGAATCCTCCTGATCTCTGCCTTCTGAGTAGCTAGGATGACAGGTGTGAGTCACCAGCGCGACTAAGCTATTGCTATTTTGAACCACAGAAATGGAGGACATCTACCCAGCAAGTCATATTGAGGTTTATTATTTTCTTTCTTTCTTTTTTTTTTTTTCTTTTTGCAGTACTGGGGTTTGAACTCAGAGCCTACACCTTGAGCCACTCCACCAGCCCTGTTTTGTGATGGGTTTTTTCAAACCCCAATCCTCCTGATCTCTGTCTCCTGAGTAACTAGGATTATAGGCATGAGCCACCAGGGCTCGGCTTATTTTCTGTATTATTATGTGATTTATATCTATGTAGCTGTATCTATAATATATAGAAAAGCTAACTGCAAAATATAGAAAAATATAAAGAGCAAAACCAACCACAATGTAAAAGTTGCTTAAACTGCTTTTGCTGAAAAGCACTGACTCCTTACTTGGGCCCGTGAATTTGATAAAAACAGGAGAAGCTTGACATCCCCGTCCCCATTTTGTACCTGTTGTTCTTTGCTATGGGCCATTCTCTCCTGTAGCCACCTTGGAATCAAAGAGGGACAGAAATGATTGATGACATCTTCATGACAAAGGACTGAAACTTCCCATAAGGAACAGTGGAGACTTGCAGGACAGACACCTCTCCAAATAAGGACAATGACCTATAGTGATGAGGCTGCGCCCTGGAGCAGGAGCCATCATGAGAACTGATGGCTCCCCTCAAGTGATGACAGTGATGACATCTTCTCAGAAATCCTTGGAGAACAAGGACTAAGATGTTGGTCAATTATGTCTCCCTCGACCACTAGAACACACCTGTGGCTGGGACTGTTTGACTATGCAGACCTTTTGTCCCCTGCCCTAATTCTTTGTCTCTTTAAAGCCAAAGTTCATGTGTGTACCCGGAAGATGGCTGAAGATGGGCTGAGTGTTCCCTCTGCTTTTTCCCACGCCTGTCCCCAGCCCTGTAATAGACCTCCCTTCCCTGCTTTTTCACCGTGAATGTCTCTTTATTTCAAGCATGGGGTGAGTGAACAAATCTGACACGTGGAAGCCCAGGAGTTAGGGCCTGGGGTCCCAAAACTCCAGAGTCAATACTTGTGCCTCTGCAAGGCTTAAGCACCGTTCTTTATTTTGGGAGCCTTCTCCCGATGGGTGTTCTTGAGGCTGCAGCTGATGTGGTCCCCTCACAAAGCTCCACCCCCAGCTCCTACTTCTAGATGGCTCTCAGGGGGTCTGGAGCTCCTATGGCTGGAACCAAGGAGCCCATGCATGATTTTCCCAGCTTAGATCCGGGTTTCACCAACACTGGCATTGAATTCTAGCCCACAGCAGTCTCAAACACTGAAGTAATTATGGTGCCCAGTGTTCCTGTGCACTTAGAGGTTCGTTTGGTTTCTTTGGAACTGGAGTTTGAACTCAGGGCCTACACCTTGAGCCACTCCGCCAGGGCTGGCTTTGAACTCTGATCTTCCTGATCTCTGCCTCCTGAGTAGCTAGGATTATAGGCACGAGCCACCGGTGCCCAGCCCAGTAATTTATTTCTCAGAGTTTCCGGAGCCCCTGTTCTGCGTGAAGTCTGCTGGTGGGACTCTGCTGACAACCATCTGGTTAGCGTGCTCACCTCTGTCTGCCAGACTGCACCATCCTGTCACTTGGGCCCTGAGTGACACTGTCACCTAACTAGGTGTGACTCTAGTTCAGTCAACACACTCAGGGGCCAGGGTGACCGATTCCTATGTCACTCTCACCACTTGTGCTCTCTGCCTCCAAACCCTAAGGTTAGCCATGATGTCCAAACCTGCCCCATCTTCAGCTCTCTGCCTAGAATGTTCTTCCTTCATTTCTCTGTCTAGCCAATTCCTATCTTTTCCCAATGAAAAGCTCTGTTCTCTGAGGGGACTTCTCACTTCCCAATCCTCTTGGCTACTGAAGGAAGAAGGGAGAAAAAATCTCCTTTCTCTGGGAGGTGGTCAGAGGAGGATTCATAGAGGCGGAGCCTCTGGCCTACAAGCAACCTTCCCTAGAGTGGAAGATTATTTATTTATTGGTGCTGGGGATGAAAATCCAGGGCTTGGGTTTGCGCTTGCACAAACTAGGCAAGTGCTGTCCCACTTAACTACACTTCCAGCCTTGGATTTTCTTTTGTGTGGGTGAAACTGGGGCTTAAACTCAGGCCTTCCCACTTGCAAAGCAGGCGCTCTACTGCTTGAGCCACACCTCCAGTCCATTTGGCTCTGGGTGTTTTGGAGATGGGGTCTTGCTAGCTATTTGCCAGTGCTGGCCTTGAACCTGGATTCTCCCCATCTCAGCCTCCCGAGTAGCTAGGGTTCCAGGCGTGAGCCAAGGCGCCCTGCTGGTCGTTGTGTTTCCTAGGCAGTCCCTGCGTGTCGTTTCTGCTCAAACACTGCAGGCTGAGGGTAGCACTACTTGTTGAGTCCACGCACCCTCACTCGTCCTTTAACAGTTTTGTTGCTGTTTGGCGGTGGTGGGGTTTGAACTCAGGCCTCGGGCTTGCTAGACAGGCGCTCTATGATATATATATATATTTTGGATACAGGGTCTCGCTATGTAACCTAAGCTGGTCTTGAACTCCCAATCCTCCTGCCTCAACCACTTGGGCGCTGGGATTACAGATGTGAACCACCACACTCCTCCCTTTCTACATTTTTTTTCAAAGAAACTTGTACATTATCATTTCTAGAATCCTGATCTTGTCCTGATTCCGGACAAGGAATAAGCTAGCTTTGAGAGGAGCAAGGCTAGCGCTGACGTGGTCTTTCTGAGACTCTCTATCTGGGGAAGGTCTGGGGGTTACTTCCCGCCAACCCCTCCTGGGAGCCCGACTCCACCCGCGCATCCCCGGGCGTGGCCGAGCGCGGCGCCTTTAAGAAGGGGGCGGAGCACTGGTGGAAAGACAAAGCCCCTGGCCGCGCGCTCCCCCTCCCCCTCCGGCGCACGGACAGTGGTGCCCGGATGTCGGTGTCGCCGTCGGTGACAGATGGCGCAATGTCTGTATATGTGAGGGAGCTTTTTGGCCTGACCTCCTTAAGTTCTGGGCCTTTCGATCCCCCGCTGTCCCCCACTTTTAACTCCGCTGCAGGAGTCCCGCACGCCTGTCACCGGCGCTTACATAACGTGACCTTTCACCTCTTCAGGCTGCCCTCTGGTGCGCTGCAACCTAACTACGCGGTAGGGGCAGAGGGGCGGAACTAGGGTTCCGAGCGGCAGCTAGTTGGAGCCAATAGACTGTGACCACTGGCCAGCTCTCCGCCTATTGGAGCATTCGCCACCGGCGCCACAGGGGAGCAAGTTAGTGTGTACGCTGGACCGGCGGGGGGAGGAGGGGAATCTCCCGCCATTTTTCAATAATTTCCTCCGGTGCCGCTGAGGAGGAGTCTTGACTGCCGGCCGCGGGGATCCGTAACGAAGGTTGACCGGGGGGGTGGGGGGCGGCCGGGAGACGCCACGGTGCACGCAGGAGCTCTGTGCCCTCTATGGCGCTGGCGGGGCCGCGGCAGCAGTAAGGGACCGGAGTTCGCGCCGCCCTCTCACCCCTCCCCTCCCCCACCACCCCGGGAGCTAGGCGCTTGCTCCCGGCCGCGGGGCCCAGTGCTGAGCGGCGGGCCGGCGAGGCGCCGCGCGTCCCCGCCTGCGGCGCCGCTGCCGCGATGGCGCCGCTCCTGGGCCGCAAGCCCTTCCCGCTGGTGAAGCCGCTTCCCGGAGAGGAGCCGCTGTTCACCATCCCGCACACGCAGGAGGCCTTCCGCACCCGGGAGTATCCTTTTCGGGCCGGGCCGGGCCGGGCCGGGGGGTTCCCGGGCCGGGGCGGGCCGCGCCCGGAGCAGCTGTCAGCGCGCGGGGCAGCCGGCGGGGCCTGGACGCCGGGTCCACACGCTCTGTTTTGGGGTCCCGGGGGCGCCCCGGGCCGCTCCCCCCACTCCGGAGCCGCGCGCCTCCATCCTGTGCCCCCCCACGGTCTTCTACTTTGTCCCCAGGCCTCGCTGGCGACCATCGCGCCCCCTCCCCCCAACTTGACTTTAGGCCGTTCTTTGGTACTGCTTGATGCACGGTGTCCTTTGAGGTTCTTTTCTTTAATTGAAATAAAACCGTCCAGTTAATTTTTTGAAATTGTACCCGCGCGGCCTCGTGATCCGGCCGCTGCAAGTGTGGTCTGCGTGTTTCTGATCTCTGCAGGGGGAATGGTGGTTTTTTAATTCAATTTTTTTTTTAATTCGCCTCTCCAGTGGACTTTAGGCCAGGGATGAAGTGACAACGTCAGGCACCCAACCAGAAATGCATTTTCAGATTTAAGGGAGGAGGGAAGGAGGCCAGAAGCTGCCTAGAGGAGCTGATGGCTTCCCTCGGCATCCACAGGGCTGCAGTTTGAAGATTGAGATCAGTATTTGTGTTTCCGTAACCGAGGTGTATCTATAAAGTTTTTTGTTTTATTTTAGGAACATGATGTTGATGTTTTATAAGAGGAAGCTACCGCTCATCTGATCATTGTGTAGGATTTTTTGCACTAGTATCACCTCTTCGTTAAAAGTTGTAGGAGTTTTATTTGGTTTTTGTTTTTTTAAAATAGACCCCAGGCGGATCTTTTTTAAGGCGGATGTGTTAAAAGCAAAAAAAAAAAAAAAAAATTCTGAATTAAGCTTTTAAGTGTTGGTAGCTTTATCAGCCCTTTCCCTTTGAAAGGACTAGATTTTTGTAGATTCTGTCTGCTTCTGTTTGGGAGAGAGTGTCCAGGTGAGCTGTTTCATTTCTCCTTGATCTTTGCTGTAATACATTACTTTGTTGGATTATCGCGTTGTTTGAGGCAGTCTGTGAATGGTGGGTGTTCACAAAAACACAAAACATTTGGAAAATGAATCAGTGCTATAGCAGCTTTCTTGATGAAATATACCTATAGCATCCTGGAGCTGAACTGGATTTTAGCTGTGATCCAGTCAGTCCTCCTGCCTGCTTTGCCAAGTGGGCTCCAGAGAGTTGAGGTTGAAGGTCACACATTTTAAAACTGGTGAGAGTCGGGATTACAGTCCAGGGCTTTTCTACCTCATCCCTGGGAGTAAACCCCAAGAGAATATGACAAGGAGTGCTACTCACTTGCTCCATCACCTGGTTTTGCTTTGTTTTTGAGACAGGGTCTCCCTGCATAGCCTAGCTAAAATTCTCAATCCTCTTGCCTCAGTCTCCCAAGTGCTGGGATTATAGGTGTGCACTACCCTGCTAGTCTCACCTTTTATGTGTGTATTGTGGAAGATCCAACCCAGGGCGTGACAGCCCTGGCTTTACTCTGAGGAGTAGTCCAAGCATTTTTTTCCCCATGATGTTCATTGAGGATTAGACCAGGGCCTTGCATGTGCTGGACAACTGCTTTACCACTGAACTGCATTCCCCAACCTTTGTTTTTTTTGAGACAGGGTCTCCTTGTGTGTAGCTCAAGTTAGCCTTGAACTTGCTATGTTGTGCAAGCTGGTCTGGAACTTGATCCTCCTGAGTGCTAGGTTGCAGGTGTGTACCACCTTCACTTTTAATTTAAATGTTAGTCCACTTTATTAGATTGTGGTATAAGATTTATTTAACTGTACTGGCTACAGTATTATTTTAGCATTACCATGCTTTTTTAAGTATTCCGAAATAACAGTGGAGTAAAAATTTACTTTTGGGAGTCTGATACAGCCTTGATATGTCATTAATATTTTGAGCTGTTAATGGTCACTCACAATATTACCAGAGATTGATTCCTCGGGTCTGGTTCTAGTGGTATTTAAGAAACATGCCATAGCGGACTGGAGGAGTGGCCTGCAAAGCAAGGGTGAGGCCTTGAGTTCAAACCACTGTACTGCTAAAAAAAGAAAAAAGAAAACACGCCATAGAGAAAAGATAAATTCCAGGCGTGTAACATATACTGAGCCATGTGCACAATGACCATAGAGAACTGATTTTAGATGCTAACACAGGCTTCAAGTATCATTTAATGAAATTACTGAAATTTGATGTGAAGAGTTTGTCTTTTTTTGGTGGTGCTGGGATGGAACCCAGGGCCTATAGCATGCTAGGCAAAGTGCTCTACCACGAGCTACCTCCCTAGCCCTAAAGAGTTTTTCTTAATGGTAACAGTTGAGAACCGAAACCTGAAACATTCTTTGAAAGTATTACATATTGAGGGGAAGTTGTTTTTCTGGGACTTTCTATAAGTGGCATCACTTCGATGATGGTTTATAAACTATTGTACTGTACAGCTGGCAGGTTGGCAGAGTTCTTTATTAGGCTATTAGTGGTTTCATAGAGAACAAATTTGTTGTAACGGTTGGATAATAGCTCTATTTGCTGTATTTGAAGTATTGTCATTCCCACTTCCAAACTTATACTCACAATTTTATATATATATATATGTATAATTATTATTATTTTTGGTACTGGGACTTCTCAGGGCCATCACCTGAGCCACCACCAGCCCTTTCTTGTGAAGAGTTTTTCATAATAAGGTCTCGTAGAACTGTTTGCCCAGGGCTGGCTTCGAACTGTGATCCTCCTGATCTTTGCCTCCTGAGTAGCTAGGATTACTGGTGTGAGCCCAGCTCACACCCAGCATGATTATATTTTTAATAGGATTTGATACATTAATTTTCTTTTAATACATTCTGATTGCATGTATACTGTAGCACATTTGTGTATTTTATTGACTTAAAGCTGTGAATTGGTATATTCATGGAGGTACATCTTCATTGAACTTAGTGGAAGTTCTAAATATTGTACACTTTGAATATTTTGTTGATTGCACTTTGATTCTGGTACCTTACTTCCTAGGGCAGTAGGCAGCCAAGACACTCCATCTTAGTTGAAGGTCATTAACTTTAATTATTAGAGTCAGAGTTAATTCTTTTTTTCTTTCTGTTTTTTTAAGTCTTTTTTTTTTTTCTTTTTGAGGTGCCAGAGTTTGAACTCAGAGCATATACCTTGAGCCACTCTGCCAGCCCCTTTTTGTGATGTTTCTTTTTCCAGATATGATCCTCCTGATCTCTGCCTCTTAAGTGGTTAGGATTACAGGTGTGAGCCACCAGCTCCTGGCAAAGTCAGTTTTTTTTTTTTTTTTTTGCGGTACTGGGGTTTAGACTTAGGGCCTCACACTTGCTAGCAAGGCAGGCGCTTTACCACTTGAGCCACTCCGCCAGCCCTGATTTGTGTTGAGTATTTTCAAGAAGGGTCTTGAGAACTATTTGCCCTGGCTGGCATTGAACCTCTATCCTCCTGATCTCTGCCTCCTGAGTAGCTAGGATTGCAGGGGTGAGGCACCAGCACCAGGCAGTCAGTTCTTGATGTGATTGACAATAGGATGATACACTGACTATTTAAATCACGATGAGGTTTAAGCAGGAACTGAAGCTACAAACAGTCTGCTGCAGATTAGCATTTTACCATGGTGCTTCCACTGTCATAGTTTTCTAAAGTTTAGGAACTAACTCGTGACATTCGTGGCATAATTACATGAGAACTTCTAGGTGGTATGATGAGAGGCTGTTAGTCATAGTCTTAATGTGGCTCTAGAGAAGAGTCCGTAGAGCCTGTTTAAGAGTTGGGTAGCTGTGGATGAGGTTCAGTTGCAGTTGCAAAACAGGATTTTACTGGACAGTTAGAATGCTGAGCTCCTAGATTGATACTTAAAATTTAATTTATTTAAGGTAAAACATTATACTATATTAGAATTGTCTTAAGTTTACTGGCAGTCTGGTCAAAAAGAGAAAAGAGGATAAAATGCATTTTTTGAGTTGGTTCTTTTTGTCATCTTTTTACCTAGCACCGTCAAGTTACAGCTATGCTTTGGTTTTTGTTTTGGGTGCTGGGGTTTGAACTCAAGGCCTACACCTGGAACCACTCCACCAGCCCTTTTTTGTGAAGGGTTTTTTCAAGATAGGGTCTGGCGAAACTATTTCCCCTGGCTGGCTTCAAACCTGGATCCTCCTGAGCTCTCCCTTCTGAGTAGCTAGGATTACAGGCGTGAGCCACTGGCGCCCAGTGAGTTATGCTTTTTTAACCTCCCTGCTTTTCTGGGCCACTTCCTTTCCAGCTCTCAAGTACTTTATTGAAAGAAACAATCCTTGCAAGGCTAAAGAGAACAAAGCATCATATTGTGGTGAGGAGGTAGCTCTTGCAGTCATGAGAAGCAGACGCATAATGAGACAGGCTAGGATTTGAAAATATCTTATCATTTACGGCTTACACAACCTTTTGAGAATTGCTTTGACATTTTGTCTGCAGTTATATGTACAGCAGCTGCTGGAATATGAAGCCCCAATTGGCGTTTGCTCATGGAGTTGTTGTTTGAGAGTGAGGGACTTATCCTGGTAACCTAAAATCTAAAAAAGAAGCAGAGCAGCTGACTGGATAGTCTTCTCATGGGCTTTTTCTCTTTTGTTTTCTTTTTTTTTTCCCCTTTATTTTTATTGTTCAAGTAATAACCAGGACAGAATTACATAAACCAAAAATACCCGTTATTTAACAGTGGTAGGAATTTCAGTTTTAGACCTTTTTTTTTTTTTTGCGGTACAGGGGCTTGAACTCAGGGCCTACACCTTGAGCCACTCCACCAGTCCTTTTTTGCGGTGGTTTTTTTTTGAGATGGGATCTCTTGAACTATTTGCTTGGGGCTGGCTTTGAATGGTGATGCTCCTGATCTCTGCCTCCTGAGTAGCTGGGATTACAGGTGTGAGCCACGGGCACCTGGCTAGTTTTAGACTTTTGAGATAAATTTAATTTCATTATTCAATTAAAAATTTTAAGTTAATATCGTCAGAGGACATTTGTTCTGAGATGTGCTATGTAGTAGAAGCATAAGCTACATGTAATTTAGAATTTCTTGTAGCCACATTTTTAAAAAAAGATCAGATGAATGAAAAATAGGGAAAACATGTTTTTCCTGTAAGAGCCAAGCCAAAGGATTAGTCACTGTGTGGCATACCTTTTCTAGCAGCAAGGAGAAAGCTGGAGGGGTCCCTTCCCAGAAAGTAGTGGGTGATGTGATACAAGCTCACATCCCTTGGGGTCCAAGCTGGGTCTCAGTGGGTGCGCTTGTCCTAAGAGGCATTCCAAGCCACATGTCAGCATGTGCACATGGAAACACTTCTATGGAAAGAAGCAGGTCGTTGGAAACTAATGCAGTCTATTGTATTTGAAGGTTCAGGGTTTGCTTCCTGGGTCAACTTATATTTGAGATCTAAAGGATGGCCAGAATTTATTTATTTATTTATTTATTTACTTTTTTGGGAGTACTGGGGTTTGAACTCAGGGCCTCATGCTTGCTAGGCAGGCGCTCTACCACTTGAGACACTCCTCCAGTCCAAAGCCACAATATTTTCTTCTTTTTTGGGGGGTAGGGAGGGTGCAACACTGGAGTTTAAACTCAAGGCCTCTGGCTTGTTAGACAGGTACTCTACCACTTGAGCTACTCCAGCAGCTAGGATGGCCAGAATTTAGAAGAGAGGACTATATATTTGTGGCAGAGAAGGTACAATGTGTTTTTGTTTTTTGTTTTGTTTTTTGCAGTACTGGGATTTGAAGCCAGGGCCTTCACCTTGAGCCACTCCACCAGCCTTTTTTTGTGATAGTTTTTTCTCAAACTATTTGCCCAGGCCAATTTTGAGCCTCCATGCTCCTGATCTCTGCCTCCTGAGTAGCTGGGATTACAGGCATGAGCCACCAGCGCCTGGCTTGATTGCTTGTGGATTTATTTGTATTGTTTGTCTTTTCACTGATCATAATCCTGAAAAGTAAGACTATCCATATATTAAATAAGCAATGCTTATTTTTGGGAGGTACTATTACAGGGGGAGCTAGTTAAATGCTTTTCTTCAAGCACTATAAAACTGTTACTTAAGTACAGGAATTGGCAGTCCCTCTCTAGTTGCAGTGACAGTTTGTTTTCTTGCATAGCATCTGTTGCTTTGTATAAAAGTAGATTAGAGCTGGGTGCCAGGGCTCATGCCTATAATCCCAGCTACTCAGGAGGCAGAGATCAGGAGCATTGAGGTTCAAAACCAGCCTGGGCAAATAGTTTGTGGGACCCTATCTCAAAAAAAAAACATCACAAAAAGAGGCCCATGATTTGAATTTGAATGTGGCTGACACTGAACTCTAGTTGGGATGATGTGGAAAGTTGCCATGTGTATGGCACAAAGTATATGATAGTCTCCTCTCCGTCTCCCTCAAGAAGATGGTCTGAACAACTGGTAAATGACCTTGACAATGTAGTATTGTCAAGAGACAACATAAGGACTGGATAAACATTATATCTAAATCATGTTTAGGAGTGTGTGGTGTTTTGTTGTTGTATTGGAGTTGAACCCATGGTCTCCTTACATGCTAGGCAGATGCTCTGGTGCTGAACTAATCTCCAGCCTGGAATTTATGAACCTTAGAAGCTACAGGTATTTTCAAGGTAGGCTGGAAGGTTCTTGGTAAATGAATCACAAGTACATGCACAGTTATTAAAACTGCTGTGAGATGGTGATCATCTCATCTTAATGCGGACTGAATCTTTTTAAAAGATTTTTATTTATTATTTTATGTTTTATTATTATTGTTGCACTAGGGGTATATTGTACATTGTGACATTTACAAAAGCGCTTCCAATAATCTTAGTTAAATTCACCCCTTCCATCATTCTCCTTTACCCCCCAACATTCTTAAACTTTGTTTAAAAATTACACTAATTGCACTTAAATTCTCATTCCTTAAGACTTAGAATTGTTTTAACTTTTTTCTGGTGGTGGGGATTGACCCCACCTCTCTCTTGTCCTCTACCACCTGAGCTGTGCCCAGGCTGTACCTTTACTTTTTCTTTATATTTCTGTCTGGAGATAGGGTTTTGCCCAGGCTGGCCTTAATCTTGATAATCTTCCTGCCTCAGCCTCCTGAGTGCTGGGATTATAGGTCTATGCCACCAAGCCCATCTACCTATATTTTTTCTTACGAATTTTTAGAACTCTGTGACTCTTGTAAAATGAAACTTTAGTGGATTGAGGAAATCACATTTGTATTAAAATATTAATATTTTATTTGTGAAACATGATCAAGCATTCTTGCCATTCTTTAGTCTCAATGGCCTGAAAACCCTGATTTCATTTATGTCTTCCCATGTTATACATTACATGAAAGGATGTGCTAGTTTTCTCTAGATATGATTGTGGGTTGGTTGTCTTTGGTGCTTGAATATTTTCCTGAGCCATTACTGACAGAGAGTATGAAGCCCGCTTGGAAAGGTACAGTGAGCGCATTTGGACGTGTAAGAGCACTGGAAGCAGTCAGCTAACACACAAGGAGGCCTGGGAGGAAGAGCAGGAAGTTGCTGAACTGTGAGTAAACAGAAGCATTGCCTTCGCCCATCCTCACCTTGTTAGGAAAGGAGGGAAAGAGTAATCCTAAAACAGTATTTATTTAAATTTGTGTGTCATAAATTGGATACATCATTTAGTGTACTGTACTGGTATATAGGTGCCTGTGCTTAGTAGCATTTTGCCAGTAGCAAAGTATGTGAGTATATATTTACTTGTGTAAATAGGCTTAGTTTTTTGCCAGGCCTTTTTCTTTTGGGGGTGGCGGTGTGGGACTGGGGTTTGAACTCAGGGCTTCATGCTTGCTAAGCAGGAGCTCTACCACTTGAGCCACACCTCCAGTCCATTTTGCTCTGGTTATTTTGGAGATGGGGTTTGGAGAACTGTTTGCCTGGGCTGGCCTCAAACTTTTTATCCTCCCAGTCTCAGCCTCCTAAGTAGCTAGGATTATAGGGGTGAGCCATTGGGCCCAGCTTTACCAGACCTTTGAACACTATTGCTCTATGCTTTTCCCTTGTAAATACTCTAAATGTGGTTCTAAACAAAGGAGCTGATAGAAGTAATATGGAAGCAGCAGAAAAGTCATTTGAAATTTTGCACGATACTTACCAGTAGTTGTCAACAGCAAGTACTCAGTTTGAGGATACTTTAAGTTGGGAGGTTGAATTGGGTGTCTTAAAAAAATACTTGTCTGTTCAAAGTGCCTAGTAGTAGTCTCTCAAAGAAAATACTCAAAATTTTGGCAATTGGTGCACATTACAAACAAATGCTTGTAATCCTAGCACTTGGGAGTCAGAGGCAGAAGCATTACCAGTTTGAGGCCAGCCTGGGCTACATAGTGAAACTCTGTCTCAAAAAAATCAACACAAAAGTGAGGTAGAAACTGTGGATGATAAAACTATACTTGGGAATTTGGAAGATGCCTTTTCTGTGGATTTGTCACTGACTGCGGATTGGCAGACAGAATAGAATTTAGTGATTTAATACAATTCTGCTCTTTTGCAATGGGTCCTAGACTATACCGTGTCTATTACTCACTAATAATGGGTCAGGTCTGTCAACCTGACACCTGTTTCTTCTTTGCTTGCATCTCTTGGATTAGTGTTGTTTATATTTTATAATACATGACATAAAAATATATATATACATATGCATTCATACATGTATGTGTGGATATACATGCATATGTTTATATGTGTTTATATGCACTTTATTTAATCTACTCTTATCAGGGATTGACCAACACTTTTTGTAAAAGGTCAGTTTGTAAATATTTTATGTTTTGTGGGCCACGTGTACTCTGTTTCAACTAAACTCTGAAGTTGTGCTGTGCAAACAGCCAGAAGTTTTATATAAGGGAATGACTGGCAATGTTGTAATAAAACTTTATAAAAAGAAAAAAAACCCTCTATCTACAAAAACTGGCAGTGTGCTGGGTTTGTGCCATTGACTGTAGTTGACCCCTATATAGTAGCCTGTAAGTTAATCTCTGCCCCCTTCCTTCTTCCCTCCCTTCTTCCTCCATCCTACCTTTACCCTACGTGCGTACCATTAGATAACCACTTACTATTTGCTTTTTGCAAATGGAAATAATGCTACCTTCTCTAGCTATCTTTTTGGGATAAAAAGGTGTGAAAATTCTGTGCAAATAAAGATAGTGCCATCAGCCTACAAAGAAGCTAGAGATATTAGAGTAGTAAAGAGAGGACCAGGCGGGGCTGCTGAACTGTGGTCATGCACCTGAAAACCCAGAGAGGATCAAGTGAAAAGCTGTCAGGAACAAATAAGAGAATTCAGTTCCAACATGAAAATAAATTGCTACCCTATCCACAGACTTCAGAGGCTAGAGACACTACCCTGATGGCTCGGTAAACATGATGAGACTTCAGGTACAAGGTGACGTTTAGAGCTCTGAGGGATAGTTTGTGCCAGATTGCTGACGACAGTTTGAGGTGTTTATATTTAATGGTGTGAAGGTGAGTACTTGAACAGGGGAGGCATAATATTGCAGTTGGGATTTGCTATTAATTTGGAGGCAGTGTATAGGATGAGTTAGGGAAGAGGCTAGCACAGTGTTCAGGCAGGGAAGCCTGAAAGGATACGTTGACTCTGCCTTACTCTTTGGTTATGACTTTGAAAAACCACTGCACACTTTCTTCTTAGCGTATTAAAGATGATCGGAAGACCTGCAGCAGAGAATCTTTAATTTGGCTTAATCTAATGGGTTTCAAGCTTGACCTTAGGACTCACTCTGCCAGAGGGAAGTCCTTCAGAAGACACTTGGGAAATGTTTCTGGAATTTGATAGCTAACATAATATAGGGGTGACAGGAGGAATTACTGAAAAAGATAGGTTTTGAATTATTTATTTATGTTTTTTGTGGTACTGGGGCTTGAACTCAGGGCCTACACCTTGAACCACTCCACCAGTCCTTTTTTGTGTTGGGTATTTTCAAGATAGGGTCCTAAACTATTTTGCCTGGGCTGGCTTCAAACCTCTGTCCTCCTGTTATCTGCCTCCTGAGTAGCTGGGATTGCAGGAGTAAGGTAAGTCTTAAAAAAAGTGTGAATTGACCTGAATTGACTTCTGGGTAGGTTTTTCTACATTTTCTTGGTAACTAACAACATACTTGTTTAGTTTGAAGGAGGAGTTCCCTAACTGGTATGAGAAACTTGTTCTGGAAATGGTTCATCACAACACAGCCTCCTTGGAGAAGTTGGTAGACACTGCTTGGCTGGAAATCATGACCAAATACGCTGTGGGAGAAGAGTGTGACTTCGAGGTGAGTGCCTGCCTTGTCTGTGATTTGATTCATTGTCAGAGTTTTAACTTCTCATGCGATCACAGAATGCATTTCTGTATGTGAAAAATTGTGCTGTACTCGAAGGCTCCTTTACCTAATATCAAATATTACATGGACCAAATTTTAGAATCATTTACTAGTGACAATTTGTTTCCCATTTCACTTTTGGGGATTGAACTCAGGGCCTCATGTTCTGCCCCTTGAGCTACACACCCAGACCCAGTAGGAATACTGTGACTTTTGCTATCCTTTTTTAAAACTCATAATTTTGTTATATTGACTTTTTTTTTTTTTTTGGTTTTGAAATTTTTCATAACTTTGTTTAAAATACTTTCAGATAGTTGGGTGCTAGTTACTAATGCCTGTAATTCCAGCTACGTGGGAGGATCCCAGCTACAGGAGATTGTGGTTTGAGAACAGCTGGGCAAAAAGTTCCTGAGACTCCATCTCAACCAAGGCTGGGTACAGTGGTGTGCATCTGTCATCCCAGCTATGCTGGAGACTGATATCCAGAGGAACACAGTTCTAGGCCAGCCCAGACAAAAAACTTGTGAGAGACCCCTTCTCAACAGAAAAAAAACTAGGCCTGGTGGCTTATGTCTGTCATCCCAGCTTTAGCGTGAAGCATAAAATAGGAAGGTTATGGTTCAGGACAGCCTGGCAAAAAGGGAGACCCTGTCTCCAGAATAACCAGCCAGAAAGGTCTGGAGGTGTGGCTCAAGTGGTAGAGTGACTGCTTTAGCAAGCATCAAGCCCTGAGTTCAAACCCCTGTACCATTTCCCCCACCCCAGTAAAAATACTTTCACATATATTTAATTCAGGTCTTCACAATAATTGCGAATAGATTGACTTTTTTCTTTCTGTCTTTAAATTTGTGTTTTAACATCTTGAATTTTAGACCCGTGACATTGATTTTTTTTTTAGTTTTGTTGTTCTTCCAGCGTGGGAGAATGAACATAGATCCTGCTGCATGCTAAGCACAATACCACTGAGCCACACCTCTAGCTCTTACGTTTCTTAATTTTCCAGCTCAAATAGTTATAGCATAAGTAGTTACAAAAGCGGTACCTAACCCTGAATAGTCCTTACATGATCTTGTGAAAGTTTGAAATAGGATTTAGAGGAACAGGAACTAAAATTTTGAAAATACCTGAGTGTACAGGATTCTGCTTGTGGCAGGAGGGGATATTTTACTTACTGCCTTGAGGATCTGCACAGAAACCCTGAGGTGCTGAGCATTTAAATAGCCGTTCAGCTGATACGTGTCAGATATGAGTACCCCCGGCTGTCTGTAATGAAACACCTGACTTACTGGTGGCCACTGTTCTCATGACATAGAGAGTTTCTGCAAATGCATCTATGCCTGGAGAGTTCAGGAGATCTAGAGCGGGTTCTGAAGTTTTGCTATTGTAATAAGCTGCAGGGTGTTGATGATACTACCACACTGGGGATCAGACTTGGCGAAGCACTGGTCCAATGGCAAAGACATTTGATCAAGGCACATAAAAAGTCTTAGAAGTACGCAGTTCTAGTCTGTTGTAGAGCTGAATAATATTGTCAAGGATTTAGACCCTGTGTCTTCCTATTCTGCTTATCTGAGCACATTGAGTTTTGGTCATTAGCTTTGTTGCATTTTGGCTGTGTAGTGTGACTGTATTCCCTGAGGACGTGGTTTCTAGATGCAGAGAAGATAAAGCACCCCTTATCTTTATGTGGTATTGGTCCGTCTTGCTAATAGCTGCCCTTAGTGCAGGCTGAGAAATGAATATTTGCCCCTTCTTTTGTTGGCTTGCTTTTGTGTCTGCTCTGCTGAGTATAGATCTAGGGCTTGACACTTGCTAGGCAGACACTTTATGAATGAGCCTTTATTCTTTAAGAGGCAAGGTTGGCAAAAGAGGAGAGAGGTGAATGGCTTAGGTAGCCAGCTCAGGACAGATCAAGATTCTTGGTCATTTTTTTTTTTTTTTTTTTGGCAATACTGGGGTTTGAACTCAAGGCCTCACCTTTGCCAGGCTTGTTAGGCAGGTTCTCTACCACTTGAGCCACTCCACCAGCCCCAGATCAAGATTCTTGGACTGGTGGCTTGGCCCAAGTGACAAAGCATTGCAAGGCCCCAAGTTCCAACCCCCCCACTATTGAAAAAAAAAAAAAAGAAGAGAGATTCTAGCTTGTCTCTTTGTGGGTCCAAAGTCTTTCTTCTTTCTGTTATTCCATTAATTTACTGTGACTCCCTGGATCCTCTTTATTTGTAATGTCTAGATTACCAGTGAGTTTTAATCGCATACTTATGTCAGTGTCCTGGCTGGAAACTGATGGCTTATTTAACTGGCATAATTGATTGAGTTTAATAAATGGATTGTTGCTGTGAGACAATAGTCAATCAGGAACAAGGGAAATATAACAAGGAAAGGTTAATTACCTTCTAGCTATCAGTTGTAAGGAGACTGCCATTGCTAAATCCCAGAGAAGCAGGAAGAGGGAGTAGACTCGAGGAGTAGCAGAGTGGAGCTGTAGTTGTTGGGGAGTACATTGATGGTGAGGTTTGACCAAGCTGCTAGGGGAGCATTGAGATAAGTCATAACTACCCCAGCCTCACTTTTCTGCCACTATTTGACTTTCTGCGATGCCTCCCATGGGCCGACGTCACTGAACCCAAGAACACAAGGGAGCCTTTGGGTGTAGCCTTTAAAGGTCAGCCTGTGTAAGCACAGAGTGAGGTGGAGAAAAATGGAGGTGGGTGTTTAAGTAGCAAAGGAAAAATATTCTGCATACATCTGCCAAAATGGAAGAGAGCTAGGGGTGTAGCTCAGTGGTAGAGCGCTGCCTAGCATGTGCAAGGCTCTGGGTTCCATCCCCCCAGCACACACAAAATGAAGAAGAAATGCTGAGGAATGGAGGAAATGTTAAGGGATATATATGTCCCAGACTGTGAAAAGGTATTTAAACTCATTTGTAATCCATTTGTGCCGTGGAGCCACACATCCACTGTAGGAACAGCATTGCTGGATACAGTTGATATGCACGTGGCCTTTGACTCTGGGTTTTACTCATGAGCATCTGTCTTCTCCATTTTGCCCCTGAGCCTTGTGTTACAGCAATCAGAGCAGAATTGCTCACAGCCCACAGAAGCATTACCCAGCAGCAGTTGAATGGGTAACTTGTTCAGGCTTGGAATACTCAATAGCAGAAAAAACGTGAACTTGATTCTGTTTCTAGAAGGCAAAAGTACATAACTAAGAATGGTTATTACCTCTGTGGGGAGGAGCTTCCTAGGAACTTTTGAAGTTGGGTACACAGGCATCCATTTTATTACCATTAAAATGTTTTATGTTGTGCCGCTGAAAAGTAGTGTGTGATGAACATAGTTAAGTATCGTGTTCAGCTGTTTACTTGGTCATGACCTGCTACATAGGGAGCATATTTTGGGTGCTGGAAAGCAGTGACCAAAATATAGTTTTCCTAGGCCTGGGATTACTGATCTGGGTCATGCCTGGCTCCTCAGTGGTTTTGAGTACTTAAAAGTGGTGATCAGAATCACCAAAGAGCTAGGTGTGGTAGAGTTCACCTGTAATACCAAGGTGAGTTCTCAGGCCACCCTGGTCTACAAAGTGAGACCCTGTCTCAAAAAAAAAAAAAAATGAAGAAAAAAGCACAAGGTACTAATGACAGTAAGGCTTCTCTGAGGAAGTGACATCGAAGGTGAAACCTAAAGGTTGTATAGAACATAAGCATGGGAAGAGGAACATTTAGTGTTTCAGGAAGAGAACAGGATGTGTAAAGACCCTTAGGCAAAGGAAACTTTTCTTTCTCATTTTTTATTTGAGACAGGTCTTCCTCTTACTCAGGCTGGCCTTGATCTCCTGGGCTTAAGCGATTCTTCTGCCTCAGTCTCCCCAGTGTTTCCTACCACTGCTGTCTTAGAAGGAACTTTTATGCTAAAGAACAGGGTTTCTCACCTTAGTGTTGTTGACTTCTGGGCCAGATGATTTTTTTGTAGTTGTGAAGTCTATCAAAGAAAAAGCTGCTGGGCTTTGATGCAACTGTGTTATTTAATACATTACTTGGGAAGAACTGACTTCTTAACTAATTTTTTTTTTTTTTTTTTTTGGTGATACTGCAGTTTGAACTCAGGGCTTCACACTTGCAAAGCAGGTGGCACACCTCCAGTCCATTTTGCTCTGGTTATTTTGGTGAACTATTTGCTCAGACTGGCCTCAAACCTCAATCCTCCCAATCTCAGCCTCCCTCTGCCTTTCTACGTAGCTAGGATTACAGGCATGAAGCATTGGGGTTCGTCTCCAAATACTATCTTTAGGTTTCAGGTGTAGGTTTTTTTTGTTTTTTGCAGTGCTGGTGTATGAATTGAGGCTTCATGTTTGCTAAACAGGTGCTGTATTCCTTGAGCCGCACCAGCCCTGGGTTTCTATTTCTTATTTATCAAATATCTCTGGTTTCTCTTCTATTGCCTCTACAGATTGGGAAGGAGAAAATGCTCAAGGTGAAGATCCTGAAGATTCACCCTTTAGAGAAAGTGGATGAAGAGGCCACTGAGAAAAAGTCTGATGGTGCCTGTGATTCTCCCTCAAGTGACAAAGAAAATTCTAGTCAAATTGCTCAGGACCATCAGAAGAAGGAGGCACTAATTAAAGAGGATGAAGGAAGGCGAGAGAGTATTAGTACGTATGCTGCTTCGTCCTTTAGTGAGTTAGGACACCCTGATTATTCTGACGCACATAAATCTTTCAGTGTTCTCTAGCACTAAATATGTAATGAAGTTCTTATGTTCACATCGTTTTGTTCACTGTTTCAGAAGACAGCTTAAACACCCCCAAAGTGAGCTCAGACTTAAACCTCCTGACATAGACCATTGGGGGATTGTGTTCCGTATTTGCTCAGCGTTTGCTTTCCTTTGCTTTTGGTACACAACATGAACGTATGTGCAGAAGGGAGATGTGCTCAAGGTAGAAGGGGCAAATTATTTCAACCTTACTCCTGTATGCAAGGCAAGGCAGTGTGGTGGCTTTAAGATATTTCTATTTTCTAAGTCCCTCTCAGAAGGAATGCTATAGTAACAAAACATTGTGATGACTAAAAGTAATTTTTAGAGACCTGGAAAGCTTCTTGTTCTTGCTTTTTTTTTTTTTTGTCAATACTGGGGTTTGAACTCAGGGCCTCACACTTGTTAGGCAGTGTGAGGCTTACCATTCCCCTAGCCCTGTTTTTGTGTTAGTATTTTCTAGGTACAGTCTTCAAAACTATTTGCCAGGTTTGGCTTCAAACTGCAATCCTCCTGATCTCAGCCTCCCAAGTAGCTAGGATAACAGGCATGAGCCACCAGTGTGCCCAGCTTTTTTTTTTCCAAATTTGCATAAACAAGAAATTTATCTGGATTAGATTCTTTTTGTCTCCAGAAATATGAGTATACAAAGTGGTGTATATGAACCACCACCTTAGAGAATCAGATAATTTTACTTTGTAACTTTTAACTGTTGCAAACTTTGGATTAGAATGTTACCTTAGAATGCCATTTTTATTTATTACATCTATTTTGTTTTACGACTCCAGATGTGTTGGATATGTGCAGATTGCTTTTGAGGGACCCTTATCATAGTCCGAAGGAAACTTCTGAGACTGTAGATGGAGCTGGTCCACCCCAGTTGTTGATACTTAGTTTTGTTTTCTGCTGTGTAGTATGAATGCTTATGTCTGTGTTTTCCAGTTCTCTCTTCTTTTCTGAATCTGAAGTTTGGTGACGTGGACATTACTTAACACGTCCCTTAGTTTTAAATGTTTTGTTTAGAAGTTGGCTGACCTTATGTCTTCTAACACTCTCTTCTAGAATCAGATTGTTAGAATACCAGCGATGTGTTAAACTTGCTAGTTTTGCTACGTGAAGCATTGTATACCAGGAACCCCATGTTTTAGGCTTTGACTTGACTTATAGTGTGTTTTAGTTCAGGTTTTAATTGTTGGAATCTAAATGTTATTGCTAATTATGTCAAAACGATGGTAGGCAGGCTAAGGAATTAACGTTATAACATACTCTGAATGTTTTCTGGAAAAAACTGATTAGAATTTCCCAAGGAATAGAATAGAGAAATTCTAGTATTCCTAATATTTTCTGTCAGATGACTGTGATTTCTACTTTATGGAGAAAAAGGTAGTGTTTGGCTTTCTGTTTCTGTCTCTGTCTCTCATTGTTATTGTTTTGGGCAGCACTGGGGTTTGAACTCAGGGCCTCATACTTGCTAGATAGGCACTCTTACCACTTGAGCCACTCTACCAGCCCCCTCTCTCATGTTCTTATTAGGTCTTTCCTGCCTGCCTTCCAGGCTACTATTCCTTCTCTGTGCTCTTAGTATTTTTCTTCACTAATCTCTCTATTACAGTATTTATCTCACGGTTGGCTCCCTTCATAGACTTTCTCTGTCATACAGATAACAATGATACATCTTCGGCCCATATCACCCAGTGCCTGGTGTGGAGTTAGGTATTGAGTGAGATTATTATTTATGAGTGAATGAATAGACTAAAAAGAATTCTTTTTTCCCCCCACTAATTTTCTACTGATTTGACTAGATGACAGAGCACGTAGGTCTCCACGAAAACTTCCTACTTCATTAAAAAAAGGAGAAAGGAAATGGGCTCCTCCAAAATTTCTGCCTCACAAATATGATGTGAAACTGCAAAATGAAGATAAGGTTAGTTGGCACTTTTCAGTAAACCTCTTATGTGGTGGATGTTAAGAAATTACTGTTGGTGGGATTGGTTTTTTTGGAGAAAAATGTACTAGAGAAAAATGTAACGAATGTCTTTGTAAACATAAATTCTAAGTGGTTTTCTAATTTTGACCTTAAATTACATATTTTCCCCAGGAGATAGTATGCTTTTCCTTTATAGAAATTACTAAGGGCATGAGAATAAGTTTACATTTGCACTTCTTACTCAAGTTTGAAAAATGAAAATGTATTCCCTATAGTTACATACTTCCAAAGGAAATAGACATTCCCAGTTAAAAGTAGAGCTATTTTTAATATAAGTAAACTTAAGTGGAATTAACTCTAATTAAAGTAAGTAATTAGTGTTTTTACAAATAATTATAGTTTTCATAAAACTATAAGTTAATAGTCTGCTGACAGTAAATTTCCTTAAAATAACCTAGTACTAGTTCACTGATTTTTTTTTTTCTTTTTTTTTTTTAAAGTGCTGAGGAATCAAACCCAGAGCTTGGCATATACTATGCAAGGTTCTTTGAGCTCTGCCTTGGCTAGCCCTTAAGTTTTTTTGAGAACAAACCTCACTACATAGCTCAAGGAAGCTTTGAACACAAGATTGTCCTGCCCCCGCCTGCTGGGTGCTGGGAAGACATATGTGTGCTACCATGCCTGGCCAGTTTTTGTGTTTTTACTTTGCGTATTTTTATGTGGGATAGGGATCAAATCCAGGGCCTTGTGCATACAAGGCAAGTCCTCTACCACTGAGCTGTACCCCCTAGTTTCTATATATTTTTTAATCCATTTAAAATAGTTGGTTTTTTTTGTTTGTTTGTTTTGGGGTAGTATTGGGGTTTGAACCTAGAGCCTTATGCTCGATAGGCAGGCACTCTACCATTTAACCCATTCTGCCAGCCCTTTTTTCTGTTGGGTATTTTTGAGATAGGGTTTGTTTTTTGTGTGGAGTGCCGTCAAACCACGATCCTCCCTGATCTCTGCCTCCTGAGTAACTAGGATTGCAGGTGTGAGGCAGTGGTGCGTGTGTTTAAAATCTGTTGGCAAGAATTTCTTTGTTAGTAGTATATAAAATGTGTCTCATTAATCACACCTTGGACGTTAGAGACAGTCCAAGTGTTCCTACACGTTTGAATAGAACCTTAGTTTTATTGTAGGAAAGACCTGGGTAGCGGTCTGGAATGTGGAAGACTGTTGCACCCTTGTCTTCATAGGCAACCTTCATACCTAGAAGAAACAGTGAAGACCTGAGAGGCCGAATGAACTCTGTGAAAGTCCTAAGCCAGTAAATGATGCTGGAAGGGAGTGTAACCAGTTCTTTGCCTCTGTTTCTTCTGATCCATTCCAGTCTGCCTCATTGTTTTACATAGCTAGTGAGTTGAAGACATGGCTGGAATGTTAGGATCTCTTTATTTGAAGTTAGATGTTAAATCCAGTTTATCACTAAGTTTTTAACAAATAGCTAAAATATGCTAAGGAGTCTAAACCACTTGCCTTTCATTCGTTTTATTATTGATGAGTACTTATTTCTTTACCATTAGTAAATATTGGCAATAGAAAGATAGAAAATCCAAATTAAAAAAAATGATCTTATCCCATGCTTGGAGGTGATAATTAGTAATAGGTAGATAAAGATTTGGGTGGTGGTAGGGTTAGGTCTTAAATGACTTTTAAAAACAGAAATAATGTTCTGGACACGTTACTCTGTAGCTTGCTTTTTTGCATTTGCTCACGGTAAGCCATGTAGTATTATGAAATACTCAGCTGTAGGGTGCAGGATTGTCACCAGGGGGTGACAGATCACTAAGCCTTACCACCACAACTGCTTCTAACTCATTAAGTGTGTGGTGAGGGCCAACTCTTTTTTTTTTTTTTTCTTTTGGTGGCACTGGGGTTTGAACTCAGGGCCCCATGCTTACTAGGCAGGCACGCTATCGTTCTAGCAACACCCTCCCCAACCTGTTTGTTTGTTTGTTTTTTGAGAAGTATTTGCTATGCAGTTGAGGCTGGCCTTGAACTCAGTCCTCCTGCCTTGGCCTCCTGAGTGCTGGCGTGCCCCATGGAGCCCAGCACCCTAGGTTATTCTGATTAATGTGTCCTGATTGAGAAACTTTTATCTTTTTAAAAGTTAAGGCAGCAAAGTTAAGTTTTAAGGCAGCAAAGTATCCATTATATGTACTTTCATTTCAAAATTGAACCCCTTGTGGATGGACCTTTAGTAATCCCTTCCCCTGTTTTGCTATTAAAAGCAGTAATGGTAGACTTGGTCCATTTATTTCTTGTGATAAATTCTTAACAAGAGTTACTGCTACTTCACAGGGGTCTACACATTTTTAGGACATATCAACGGATTGCTTAGGGATCTTTATTTACTTACTTATTTTTGGCATTACTAGGGATTGCACTAAGGCCTAATACTTGCTAGGCAGGTACTCTTACTTGAGCCATGCCCCAGCCCCTTTTGGCTTTAGCCGTTTTCCAGGGAACAGCGATCCTCCCAGTCTTCCTCTGCTTCCTGAGTATCTGGGATTACAGGAGTGAACCTTGCCCTCAGGATATCTTTAAGTCGATACTCTGTCTCGAAACTATTCTCCATTTTCTTCTATTCAATTTATAACCCCATTTTTTAAAAGATAGATTTTTTTTTCAAGAGAACATAAATTTTTATTCCCATTGGATAATTGCTTCTTATCCCAGTGGTGAGTTTGTTTTTACATTTGTTCGCCTAGATCATCAGCAATGTGCCAGCAGACAGCTTGATCCGTACAGAGCGCCCACCAAACAAGGAGATACTTCGATACTTTATCCGGCATAATGCCTTGCGGGCTGGCACTGGTGAGAATGCACCTTGGGTGGTAGAGGATGAATTGGTGAAGAAGTACTCCCTGCCTAGCAAGTTCAGTGACTTTCTACTTGATCCATATAAGGTAAGCTCACTACCAATTTTTAGCCAGCAGGATGACTTTATTTTATGTGGTGGTCCCAGCACGATGAGATTTGTAGCAGATTTTGTTAATCCACTCAAAAATTTCCAGATACAGCTTTCCATGTGGAGTTTAAAGACAGGAGAGGTCACATTGAGTAGTTCTTCCAGTGGGATTAATTTTTGTGATGCTTATGTAATTTAAAATGGAAGCTATATACATATGCTTAATTTTGCCTTCAGTCCTTTTTGGAATGAGGTATGGGTGTAGTTACAAAAGATATTTTATTAGCATATAATAGTCATATATATGCTAGCCTTTATATGTATAGTCGTATGTTTAATTATTTTTCTCTCTCTTTTTTTTTATTTTTCGTGGGACTGTGGTTAGATCTCAGGGCCTACACCCTGAGCCACTCTACTAACCGTTTTTTTAGTCGAGTGAAGGGTTTCTTGAGATAGTGTCTCAAACTATTTGCCCGGGCTGGCTTGAACCACAGTCCTCCTGATTTCTGCCTTCCAAGGAGCTGGATTACAGGTGTGAGCCCATCAGTTCCTGGCCATTTATTTTATTTTCTTGAGAGCAAGGGCTTGCTGTTGTATCCCAGGCTAGTCTTGAACTTTTGATCCTCCTGCCTCAGCCCTCCTGAGTGTTGGGATTACAGGCATGAGACACCACAACTGGCTGTGATTCACTCTTTTGCGTGTCAGGCAAGATGGTCAAATACCCTGGCAGCCTATGTGTGACATGTTAATAGCAACCAATCATTCCTCGGTTGAGAAATGTTGTTTCTTTCTGAACCATCGCGTTTGATCTTCAGAGCATTGTTATGAAATTGTATGGCAGACATGTTAAATTTATTTTACAGTTGGGAAATTTGAGGCTTAGTCTAATTAGAACCAAAGAAAATGGATGACAAGACCCAAGACCTTGGCCTGGGATTTCTTTTATCCCTTTTCTTTTTGAGACAGGGTTTTGTCGTGAAGCGTGGGGTGGCCTGGACCTCCAGATCGTCCTGCCTCAGAATCCCAAGTGCTGGAATTACAGGCGTGTACCACCATTCCCTTCTTTCTTTTCTTTTCTCCCCTCTTCTGTTTCTGCGGATATGATATGAGATACTACCTGTGTATAAAATCACCTCTGATTGGGTTTAAACTCTTGGATCCCTTGAGTCCTTAAATATTTTTCTCTTTTTTGGTCTCACAGCTATTTTCATGTTTCAAGTATGTGAATAACAAGAAAGAGAATGATTTACAAGTAAAAGATCTTTGTGTTTTATAGACAAATAAGCACATTTTGTAGGAGCTGAAGATTAGAATTATAATCACCAGCCTGAAAGTGTAATTTCTGAAGAAATTGACTACTCTCAAAATTTCTAGAGATAGCTTATGTTACTAGTTTTATGAAGTTTGTCTTAGTTCAGATTGAAATTCAGACATGAAAGCTTGCTTAGACTAAACTATGTAAAAAGGCAGTGACTGCTCAAAACTTGAGACTTGTAAAGTATCAGGTATATACCCTTATTATCTGTTTTCTCTATCTTAAGTAATTGCTTATTCTGTGATACTGTTGACATTTCACTGATTGTCTCTGTTTTGTGTATAAGCTGTGCTTTTCCTTTTTTGTAAAATTAGTTTTCTTAAGGGATCTTTTACAGCTGCTAGGGTAGAACATAGAGAACACAGACAAGTGAGATCATGAAACAGTGCTTTGGATCTTTTTTTTCTTTTTGGTGGTATTGGATTTGAACTCAGGGCTTTGCACTAGGCAGGTGCTCTACAGCTTGAACCATACCCTCAAATCCGTCTAAAAGAAATTTAAAACAACCACGTCCATGACATTAATCTTCCTTCCTAAATGCATGGAATATTTTTCCTCCTTGTGTTCTCTTTGATTTTTGTTGAATTTAACATTCATCCAGGCTGCTGACTACAGTTAACTGAAGAAAGAGGCAAGGCCTTGAGAGAGGGAACAGGTTCTCAGTGCTGGCTATAGGACAGGACAGATGGAGAGGAAGCCTCAGCAGGAGTGTGGGATCCAGGAGTTTGGAGTGAGTAGGGCTGAGTAGGCTAACACGTGGGTTTGTGTCTTGTAGACCCTTTCTGGAACAAATGGCTTCGGAAGAAGAGCTGTCATATGTCTTGTGAGTTTAGCATAGTATATTTCATATAAAATAGGTACATGGCTGTTTAATTTATTTCTTGAAGTTTCCTTTGTTGAGGAGAAAAATGTCAACAGTTGGGTTTAAGCAATGGCGTGCTTTTTTGTAAGCCTGATGACGTAGAAGAATGATGTACAAGGCAACCAGATGATAAGGTAATTTTTCACCAAAGATGATTTTGCCATCTTGCTCATTTCTCTCTTGTCATAGATAGTGGCCTAGTGTTTTCTTAGTCTCTTCATAATGCTTAAACTCTGGTTTTGGAATGATAAATCCTATTAGGAAAGCTTTTGGATGGAGTGGAAGAAGAAAATTAAACTTTTTTTTTTGATGGCACTGGAGTTTGAAGACAGGGCCTCGCACTTGCAAACAGGCACTCTACCACTTGAGCCACTCGGCCAGCCAGAAAATAAAACCTTTATGACATTTGGAATTCTGAAACAACTAACAGCATTAGTCTTAATATATTTTTAAAAAAACCAAACATTTCATTTGGAAATAATTTTATATACAAAACTTAACAAAACACTGTTAAAGAATTTCTGTATGTTCTTCAATTAGATTCCGCAAATGTTAACCTTTCCACAATTTACTATAACTTAGTGAATAAGTTGCACATTAGGATGCCCTTTTACAAAACACATAAGTATTTATGTCTAAAAAAATGAATATTTCCTAGGGTTGGATCCCCAGTACTACAAAACAAAAATGATATTTTCTAACATAGCTATAGTACAGCTGTCAGAATCTGTTATCTTATCTATAGTTCTGACTCAAATTTTGCCAGCTGTCCAGTAATCTTTTATCTAAAAACAGTTTTGTTTGGTTTTAGGGCTTAAATGGGTCTCTTTTGTCCTTTCTAATCTGGAACAGTCCCTCAGCTTTTCTTTTGTCTTCTAAAACCTGGGCATTTAAAAATAATACAAGGCCATGATGTAGTAGTTTGCTCTTTCATTTGGGTTTATTTCCTCATGATTACATCCAGATTGTAAGTATTTGATAGAAACACCACAAAACATACTTTCTCAGAGGATGAAATCAGAAAGCATAGGACGAATTTTAATTTTGTCTTCTTAGTAGTGATATCACACATTTCAAAGTATAATTCTTTCTTGTCCTAATAGAGTAAGTACTCAGGGCCCTAAGAGTTTTCTTTAAATAAATTTTGGCTCTTAAAGTATATTTATGAGTCAGAGACTAGAGTGAAAGTAATTAAAAAAAAATTATTTTCAAATAATACAAAACCACTTTATATTAACACATTTAGCAAACTTGACGGTGAGAGTGTATGGAGATTGAGATCAGCTTCATATATGAATGTTGCTCTCAAACGAGTGGATGTTGCCTTGAGCGAATAAGAGGGGTAGGGGTCTGAATACATCGAGGGAGTTTTCTGCCTAGATTCCACCGCTTACGGTCAAGTTCAGCATCTGCTCGAGCTGCTACAAATGTCTTTCCATTTTTATCAAGAAACATGACTTCCTTTCAAGGCCGTTCGTGGTGGCGTTGGTGTATTCCAGGTGTAGGGACTCTATTTTTCTTTCAGCCTCCCATGTTGCCGAGGCATTTATTTTTGGGAGGGCAGTACTGGAGTTTGATCTCAGGGTGTCACACTTGCTAGTCAGGCGCTCTACCATTTGAGCCAAGACATTCATAAACATTTTTACTAGGAAGGGTGTTTGCCACAATACTGGACTACTTCTCACCTGGGTATCCATTCCTCTCTCCTCCTTCCCTGTATGCCAGTCTAGTAGATTAATTGTGCTGAGTAGGGAGCAGGGAGACCCTTAGCACATAAGTGGTTTTATACTTTTTCAGATACCCCTGAGTCCAGCCATGCCGGCTCCCATTTGGCTGTGACTACCCAGCATGCTCCATGCTGAGATGACCCAGGTACTGAAGGACCACTCATGCCGGGAGCCGGCCTATTGGGAGGGGGTTGGGTGAGTTCATTTCTTTTACTTTTCAGAAAAAAAAAAAATGTGTATCTTGGCAAAAAAACCCCAAAAACCCACACCTTATAAATAAAAATAGGTGGCTAATCCACCCACGTTATATCATTTCTTCATAATGTAAGTTTAAAGAAGATTATTCTCTATTTGAATTTTTAAGTAGAAATAAATACAATCAGTAAATTAAGAAGTGCCCCATGTATAGTGGACCCTATGAAAAGATACCTGTTTAAAATGCTGAAACTGAACAGTCTCACCTGAGTCTCAAATAATGAATTTCATTGTTGGATAAACTTTAAACATAGAATCTATTCTGACCATTGGAAAGTTTTAGTCTGTATGTCTCTACTGTGACAAGGCTAGTTGAAGAGGATGGTTAATTTTGTGAGGCAAACTTTTTTTTTTTTTTTTTTGGCAGTACTGGGGTTTGAACTCCTGCACATTGAGCCACCCCACCAGCCCTTCTTTGTGATGGGGTTTTTCAAGATAGGGTCTCATGAACTATTTGCCCCAGGCTGGCTTTGAACTGTGATCCTCTTGATCTCTGCTTTCTGAGCATATGTGGTTTTTGTGCCTGTAGTGACCGGTCTTCCTCTGATTTCTAGTAGAGTCTCTTTGAAGTGCTGATAGCATTACTGTCACATGGAGAAAGCAGTCTTTTTTAAAAAGTCGTCTTTCTTTTCTTGTTCCTGTTAACATTTTAAAGTGTAGTTCTGGGAAGCAGAGCTGGGAGGTTGGCATTGGGGAAGGGTCCCAAGTTATGGATGCAGCTTATTTTCTATAATGTGCTAAAAGCCTGTCTGTCTGTCAACCCATCCTGAGGATTATTCGGGAAGTAAAACGTTTTTAAATTTATTTTTTGTGGAACTGGAGGGCTTTGTGCTTGCAAAGCCAGGCACCTTACCATTCAAGCCATGCCACAGTCCTAAAACATCTTTTAATCAGAAAAATAATAGCCTGCACTGACTGTAATTCTTAAAGGCAAGTAGAGAACTTAGCCAGAAGAGGGGTTTGTTAAGGCAGCTGACTCATGCAGACTGTACTGCTGCCTCTTGTGTGGTTGTGTTTTCTGGGATGCTCTTCTGCCGGTTCTGTCCTCTTAAATCTTTACTTGACTTTGTAGCATACTGAGTTCTTCCTAAGCCTGTTTTCTGTGTTCCTGACGAGAGAATGGTGTTTACCATCTGCATTTGCTTCGTCTTGGCTGTGTCTCTGTGTTCTTTTGTGGCTCACCATCTCATTCTGCACTCAGCCTCCATAGGTTTCTTCAGGCCTTACCTTACGCTAGTTTGTTCTTCCCACTGCCTCCAGACGGCTTTTTTTTTTTTTCTGGTGGCACTGGGGTTTGAACTCAGAGCTTTGGGCTTGCAAAGCAGGCGCTCTGCCACCTGATCCACACCTCCAGTCCATTTTGCTCTGGTTATGTTAGAGATGGGGGTCTCAAGAACTCTGCCCAGGCTGGCCTCAAACCACAATCCTCTCAATATGTACTTATGCAGTAGCTAGGATTATAGGTGTGAGCTACTGGCGCCTGGCTCAGCTAGCTTTTTTACTTGCTGGTTTTCTCAAGTTGGTCCTGTCCACTCACGAACCTGAAAGTTCTGCATGCTGATCACATGCGTAGCTGGTTTTGGTAATAGAAGTCAGCTGTTGTAGAGGTTATCTAGTCTTTTGCCTGTTTTCCTATAATTTTTTTCCTGAAATGGGTGTACTTTTGCATTGTTTGGTTATTATTTAGCTACCAGCCTTTTCCTTTTTTCTTCTTTGTAATTATATTGTTTAAAAACGTTAAAATCACAGAGTTGGGGGGGCACTACTGGGTTTGAACTCAGGGTCTCCTGCTTGCTAGTGTGACTCTACTACGTGAGTCATTCTGCCAACTCTTTTTTATGTTGGGTATTTCTGAGATAGGATCTCAAGAACTGTTTGCCTGGACTGGCCTCCAACCCTAATCCTCCTGATCCCTGCCTCCTGAGTAGCTAGGGTTACAGGCATGAGCCACTGGCTGTTTTGGGTTTTTTTGAGGCATGGCCTCACTATCTAGCCCAGGCTGTCTTAGAAGTCTCCATCTTCCTGCCTCAATTTCTGTCGTGCTGGGAGGCCGGTAGGCCTGCTACCACACCTGGCTATAGAATTTCTTTTTAAAAATACACATTTAAGTTGAGAAACAGTGTTACCATTGACAAATGGACTGGGTTCTAGCCTACTAAGTGGTTCTGTGTGATGGAGGTAAGGTTTGGGAGGCTTGAAGAGCCATGAGAAGATGTGTATCTAGGAGCGTGGGAAGGTGAGTGACCTAAGGGGATATACTGTGAATGTGGGGTGGTGGGCAGGACCCCTTGGAGGTGTCCAGCAATGGATTTAGAGTGAGAACACTTGTATCTTTAGCCATATTTAAGCCAAACATGTATAGACCCGTAGTGTGAACTAGTCAAAGTTATGCTTTTTCCAAGTAAATTCAATAGAAGAGAGACAAAGGAATTGTAGGTTTTTGTGAGATTGATTGAAAAGTTTGACCAGAATTTGATTAGGGTAAATAAGGACAAGAGTCAGCCATGTGCACAAAACTCTAGTCTGAGCTACTTGGGAGGCTGACTTGGAAGGATTGCGTGAGTCTGGGGGTTTGAGGCCAGCCTGGGCAACATAGTGAGACCCTCCTCTCTTAAAAATAATAAAAAGGCTCGAGGCATGACTTGAGGCAGAGCGCCTGTCTAGCAATCATAGAGGCCTGAGTTCAAATCCAGTATGTCACAAAAGAAAAGAGAGCAAGGTGACAGTGGCAAAAATGTGATAGGGTGGATGGGTTTAATGTTTGTGAAATTGAAGGAGTTGATGTAGTAGACAGGGATGTTCAAAGAGACAGTTGTGAAATTAATGAGGATTTAGGGAGCTCATGGTTAATGTATTCATAGAAATGAATTTTCTCCTTTTTTCTTGAGAAGGGTCTTAGTATGTAGCTCAGCCTGAGATCCTCCTGCTTCTTGCCCTCCCAATGTTGGGATTACAGGCGAGTACCACCACCCTCAGCTCAAAATCAGTTCTTGAGTTACGGGGTGAGGATGAAGAGGGGTTTGAGAAATCTGTGAGCAGTGTTTATATTGTTACTATAAAGAACTAACTCCTCCAAGTTGAGACAGATTTTTAAGTAGTTAGTGTAGTTTCTACTTGTAGCATAGACTGCGCTGAACTGAGACAAAGTTAAGGAATGAATATCCAGTCCTATTTCAAGAGCAGTACATTTTTCTTAACGGCGCCCCCCTCCCCCCACCATCATCACCCACCTTTCTAGCTATTGAAATCGGACCTCACACATGCTGGGCAAGTGCTCCATCACTGAACTGTAACCTCAAGCCCCTGAGTGTAGACCTACAGTGTGGGTATTAAAAGAATCTTGTACCGATAGGGCAGAAGCATCAGCTAGCAGCCATGTGTTTGTTTCCTCAGGGACAAAGTGGCTGTGAAGAAAAGTGAATGTACGCAGTTTTACTTGAGTAGCTGGGGAGGGGGCTTAAGATGCTTAAATACTGCTTCTTAAAGTTAGTTTTTAAAAGTAATTTTGCTCCTGTTCTTAAATTCTAGTACATGACCCTCAATCCTTCTACTAAGAGGAAGAATACTGGCTCCCCAGACAGGAAGGCCTCAAAGAAATCTAAGACGGACGGTTCTCTGAGCTCACCCCTGAATCCTAAGTTATGGTGTCACGTCCACTTGAAGAAATCACTGAACGGCTCACCACTCAAAGTGAAGAACTCAAAGAATTCCAGATCTCCTGAGGAACATCTGCAAGAAGTGATGAAGATAATGTCGCCCAACAAGCTCCATGCTAGCTTTCACATTCCTAAAAAAGGCCCGCCCGCCAAGAAGACAGGGAAGCATGGGGACAAACCTTTGAAAGCCAAGGGCAGAAACAAAGGCATCCTGAATGGGCAGAAAACTACAGGCGCTTCCAAATCTCCCAAAAAGGGTTTGAAGACTCCTAAAACCAAAATGAAGCAGATGACTTTGTTGGATATGGCCAAAGGCACCCAGAAGATGACGCGGACCCCACGGAATTCCGGGAGTGCACCCAGGTCCTCCACTAAGCCTCATAAACACCTGCCTCCTGCTGCGCTGCATCTGATTGCCTATTACAAAGAAAACAAAGATAGGGAGGACAAGAAGAGCGCCTTGTCCTGCGTCATCTCCAAAACGGCTCGGCTGCTCTCCAGCGAAGATCGAGCTCGCCTCCCAGAGGAATTGAGAACTATCGTTCAAAAGCGCTATGAGCTCTTGGAGCACAGGAAGAGGTGGGCCTCCATGTCCGAAGAGCAGCGCAAAGAGTATTTGAAGAAGAAGCGGCAGGAGCTGAAAGAAAAGCTGAAGGAGAAAGCCAAAGAACGGAGACAAAAGGAATTGCTTGAGAAGTTAGAAAAACAGAAGCGATATGAGGACCAAGAGTTGAGTGGCAAAAACCTTCCGGCCTTTCGACTGGTAGACACACCTGAAGGGCTGCCCAACACCCTCTTTGGGGACGTGGCTCTAGTGGTGGAGTTCTTGAGCTGTTACTCTGGGCTTCTCCTCCCGGATGCTCAGTATCCCATCACTGCCGTGTCCCTCATGGAAGCCTTGAGCGCGGATAAGGGTGGCTTTTTATACCTGAATCGAGTGCTCGTCATCCTACTGCAGACCTTACTGCAGGACGAGATTGCAGAAGACTATGGCGAGCTGGGGATGAGGCTGTCAGAAATCCCTCTCACTCTGCACTCTGCCTCCGAGCTTGTGCGGCTCTGCTTGCGCAGGTCCGATGCCCAGGAGGACAGTGAGGGCTCAGACACAGATGACAACAAAGAGTCAGCACCATTTGAGGACAATGAGGTACAGGATGAGTTCCTAGAGAAGCTGGAAACCTCTGAGTTTTTTGAGCTAACATCAGAGGAGAAACTCCGGATCTTGACAGCTCTGTGCCACCGGATCCTCATGACGTACTCAGTGCAAGACCACATGGAGACCAGACAGCAGATGTCTGCAGAGCTGTGGAAGGAGCGGCTTGCCGTGCTGAAGGAGGAGAACGATAAGAAGAGAGCAGAGAAGCAGAGGCGGAAAGAGATGGAAGCCAGAAATAAAGAGAACGGAAAGGAGGAGAATGGCTCGGGCAAAACTGACAGGAAAAAGGAAATTGTGAAGTGTGAGCCACCAGTAGATATGGAGGCTGAAGATATCGTTAGTGCCGTGAAGAGCAGAAGGCTACTTGCCATGCAGGCTAAGAGGGAGAGGGAAATCCAGGAGAGAGAGATGAAAGGTAAAATTTCATGGCAGAGCAAAGGGGAGTCACTTAGAAGATAGAAAGAAAGAAAGTTATTGTAACAATGATATCAGGATACCTGCTTGTCCTCACTGTTTACTTATCTTGGAGTATAGTAACCCAGCACTGGCTAGGTTTGGAGGGTGTGTGTGTGTGTGTGTGTGTGTGTGTGTGTGTGTACACAATGCTGGTGATTGAACCTAGAGTCTGCACATGTGGGACAAGCTCTCTACCACTAAGCTATACCTTCAGCCCTAGGCTTGTAATACTATTTTTAATTAATTATTTTGGCAGATCAGGGTTTGGACTCGAGGTTTCTCACTTGCAAAGCAGGTGCTCTACTGCTTGAGCCACACCTCCAGTCCATTTTGCTCTAGTTATTTTGGAGTTGGGGTCTCAAGCTATTTGCCAAGACTGGCCTTGAACTGTGATCCTCCTGATTTCAGGCCTCCAAAGTAGCTGGGATTACAGGTGTGAGGCACTGTGCCCAGCTAATGGAATCCTTATTAATATTTAAGAACTTAGAAATCATGGGTTTTGATGGCATCAAGTCAGAATTTTTTGAGAACAGCTTTATTGAATAATCCTCACACCATACACTTCGCCCATTTATTGGGTATAATTCAGTGTTCTAAAATGTATTCACAGATAAGTGCAACCATCACCACAGTTTTACATTTTTACACCTCAGAAAGAAGCTGTGTACTTTGTATTTATCATCTCATCTGCTCCTTCTCAGCCCTAAGTGACCACCTGTCTCTGCCTATAAATTTGACTATTATAGAAATTTCCTGTAAATGAGATCAGATGATAAATAATCCAACATAACATAGAGAGCTCTTTGTGGCTGGTTTCATGTAGCACCTCATGCTCCAAGAAAGAAGCCAGATACCTCTGTCTAGCTCCAGAATGTTCCCCTCCCTCCAAGAGAAACCCTGAAAGTCACTCATTCTTCTGGTCCCAGCCCCGGCAGTGACTGAGTTGGCACTGTGGATTTACCTGTCCTGGAATGGGTAAATTTCATACAAGTGGAGTCACGTGATACGTCTTTCTGATTTTTGTTTTGTTTTGTTTTGTTTAGTAGCCCTGGGGTTTGAACTCAGGGCTTTGCACTTGCTAGCCAGGTGCTTTACCACTTGAGCCAGTCTTCCATGCTACCCTGCTTATTTTTGAGACAGGGTCTCTGAGTTTTGCCTGGGCTGGCCTCAAACTTTGACCTACCTGTCTCCACCTTCCAAGTAGCTAGGATTATAATCATGCGCCACCACAGGCCCAGCCCTATAGTCTGACTCATTTAATTTAGCCTCATGGTTTAAGTTTTATCCATGTTTTAGTATGTATCAGTGCTTGGTTCTTTTTTATGGTTGAATATTACTCCATCGTTTTGCTACCATATTTTGTTTATTCATGAGTCAGTGGACATTTAGTTTTTTTCTACCTTTTAGTTATTACGAATAATGCTGCTATAAATGTAAATGTAAAAGTTCTATATATTTCCATTTATTTTGAGTACTTAGGAAAGGAAGTGCTGAATCGTGTGGTCATATTTAACCATTTGAGGAGCTGTGAGGCTGTTTATCAAAATGGCTGCACAATTTTACATTCCTGCCAGCAGTGTGCAAGGCTTGATTCTCACCTCACCAGTGCTTGTTACTTGTCTTCACGGGCACAGCCATCCTGGTAGGCACGAGTGCCCATCTACCTCACTGTGGCTTTGGTCAGTCACCTTTTCATGTACCTCTTGGCTATTTTGTGTATCTTTGGAAAAATGAGTGTTCGAATCTTTTGCCCATCATTAAATTGAGTTATTTTGTCTTTTTTATTATTGAGTTGTAAGACTTTAGACATTCTAGACACAGTTCCCTATCAGACCACGTGGTCAGTATTTGCATGAGCATTCAGATCTTTTGATACCTGGTTCAATGCTCTAACCTTTGAAACTAAATTTGGTCTTATTTTGGTGGCTTACCATAAACTGGGGTTTTTTGGTTTTTTGGGTTTTTTTAAAAAAAATGCCGTCTCAGGAGAATGAGCTTTTTCTTGATTATGATTCAGCTTAACTCCTTATGTATGTGTGTGTCTCTGTCTCTGTCTCTCCCTCATTTTTTGGTGGGACTGGGTTTTGAACTCAGGGCTTCAGGCTTACAAAGCAGGCACGCTATCTCTTTAGCCAGTTATCTAGTCCATTTTGCTTTGGTTATTTAGGAGATTGGATCTCTTAAACTGTTTGTCCAGGCTGGTCTTGAACTGCTATTGTCCTGATCGCTGCCTCCTAAGTAACTAGAATTACAGTTGTGAGCCACTGGCGCCCAGCTTCTCTACCTTTTTTTTTTTTTTTTTGAGACGGGTCTTAACTATGTAGCCCATGCTGCTGTCAAGCTTGTGTGCTTCTGCCTTCTGAGTATTGGAATTACACAGCATTACATTGCCTGGCTCTCTATATCTCTTTTTATCATTTACTTTTGTGCTATTCTTGCTTGTAATTTAAGGAAATGAAATTGTCTTAGTTTTTTAAAGGGCCATTTGTTGTCATGCAGCGAGCGTCCACATTTCCACATTGTGGACATTATTGGTACAGGGTCATGTTAAAAATTCTGGGTTGTAGATAGCAGTGTACCTTGCAGTAAGCAGAGCTGTGACAGAGAGATACTTACAAGACAAGATTGCTGTGCTTTTTTGTTGTTATTAAAGGAAATTCCTATTGGGATAGGAAAAGCCCAGATAATAAATGATCAGAAATAAATTGATTAAAGGTTTTCTATCACTAACAGTAGTAACTTGCTGAGTAATTAGAAAAATATTATTCAAGCTGGGTGTGGTGGTACACATCTATAATCCCAGGTACTTGGGAGATAGAGTCAGGAGGATCTGAGTTCAGTGCTAGCCCTGTCCAAAAGGTAGTAAGACTCTCAACACCAAACAGTTGCCAGAAGGGCTGTGGTGTAACTCAAGAATAGAGCACTTGCTTAGCGTGCTTGAGGCTCTAGGTTAAATCCCCAGTAACCTCAAAAAAAAAAAAAAGAGAAAGTCTTGCCGGGCACCCGTGGCTCACACCTGTAATCCTAGCTACTCAGGAGGCAGAGACCAGGAGGATCTTTGTTTGAAGCCGGACTGGGCAAATAGCTTGCTAGACCCTATCTCGTAAAAACCCTTCACAAAAAGGGCTGGCGGAGTGGCTCAATGTGTAGGCCCTGAGTTCAAACTCCAGTACAGGAAAAAAAAAAAAAAAAAAGTCTATCATTGTGCAATAATTTTTTTATGAGTATGTGGTGCTGGAATCAGAGCCTCCTACCTGCTAGCCGAGCACTACCACTGAGCTACATCCTCACCTCTGCATTGGGCATTATTGTCCACAAGTACTTCCTTTCCCCAGCTTGCTTAGGTGGTTTTTGGTTTTGTGTTTTTGTCATTAATTATATTAAGTTGAATTACTGTCATATTTCTCAGGACTGAACTGTTTTATTTTGAAATAATTACTGGTTTTATTCGTTTTTCTGATCTGTTTGAGGAGCCCGTATATCCATTGTGGGTGAGACCTCATAAAGACAAATGGGATCTAGGAGGGCCTTGTGCATCATTTCTTAGAACTGCTTCAGTTTGGAGAAGGAAGCAAGGCTAATGCTTCCTTCATGTAGGGCACTTTGTGTCTTTGCCAGTGAAACTGGAGCGCGAGGCTGAGGAAGAGCGCATCCGGAAACACAAGGCAGCTGCCGAGAAGGCTTTCCAGGAGGGCATCGCCAAGGCCAAGCTGGTCATGCGCAGGACACCCATTGGGACAGACCGGAATCACAACAGGTAGGTTGCTCGTCTCAGATGTCATCACCTGGTGGGGCTGGTATATTACATTTGCAATACTAATAACTAATTAGTTAGGAGATTATCTAAGGTATCACCAATAAACTTTCCTGTTCAGTGTTGTGTAATTTCTCGTTAACATTTACAGAATACTAACGATACGAAATGCTAGGGTTACAAAATCAGTAAGACACGCTCCTGGGCTGGGGTGGAGCTCAGCCGTAAATGCTTGTCTAGCATGTGCAAGTCCTGGGTTCCATCTCCCGTTTTGCAAAAAAAAAGGAAAAATATACATCTTCTGTCCTTTGAAGGTACCACAGATGTGAAACTTTGGTGACAGATGGAATGTAGTCTTTAAAAGTGGAAATACGGGGCCAGGATGGGGCACAAGTGGTAGAGCACCTGCCTATAGGCACAAGGCCCTGAGATCAAACCCTTAATACCACCAAAAAAAAAAAGGCAATACATTTTAAATGCATGCGCTGTGTAGAACACGTTTTTTTAGTACAGGAACATTGGAAGTTGATACTTAATGAGTCTCAAATTCAGGATTTTTTTCTTCTCTTTTTTTGAGGCGGGTGTACTGGGGTTTGAACTTGGCCTTGTGCTTGCTAGTCAGGCACTCCATTGCTTGAGCCATGCCCTCCAGCCCCTAAAATGTTTTGGTATCTTTTGCTTTGCCTTACAGTATCTTTGTGTGTGGAATTCTGAGCACAGGAGCTGTCGCCTATGGTTAGGAAAGCATAGTTGTACGTATAGTAACTTCTCCAACTGTAGCTTTCTTGCATCGTGATCTGTTCACTATCTTATTAATACACGGCTGTGATTTGTAGATACTGGGTCTTCTCAGATGAGGTTCCAGGCTTGTTCATTGAAAAGGGCTGGATCCATGACAGCATTGACTACCGGTTCAATCATCACCGCAGAGACCACGCAGACTCTCCTGACGACGATTACTGTCCCCGAAGTAAGTGCGTCTGCTGCAGAGTCTGCTCCACTTGTAGTGTTGTGTCCTCGTGAACACAAGTGTGCGTCAAAAACGTGGGCTGCACCTGACCTACCTGACATAGCTGAGCAGCACAGTCCACTGTAGAGTACCGTGTTCCTCCCTGTGATTGTGCAGCTGCCTGAGCGCTGTGGTCCCCTCTGCTGCTCAACATTGTGAGAATGTAGTACTGATCATGTTAACTTGGGAAAAATAAAAATTGAAATGCCATTTGTTTATTTTTTAATGGAATATGGGGTTTGAACTCAGGGCCTCACTCTTGATAAGCATGAACTTTCCCACTTGAGCCATGCCCCTAGCCCTTTTTACTTTTAGTTATTTTTAGATAGGGTGTCAGGTTTTTGCCTGGGCTGATCTGGACCGTGATTCTCCTATTTAGATCTCCTGTATAGCTGAGACGTGGCAAATGTGCCACCATGCTCATCTTGCTGCTTCAGATGACGTCTGCCTAACAATTGTCATGGCTGTCCTTGAATTGAGTTGGTTGCACTCTTTGACCCAGAAAAGCTGGGGTTGCAGGCATGAGCCACCACATCCAGTTTGGTTGCTTGTTTGTTTGAGACAGTATCTCGCTATATAGCCCAGGCTGGCCTTGATCTGACAGTTCTCTTGGCTCAGTCTCTTAGTGCTGAAATTACTGCACTCGGCATTACAACATTTAAAGTAGGGATCTGTCTGCAGCTCTTCTGCTCCACTCAAAGGTTTAACATTAGGATGCCTCTCCTTTGTCAGCTCTTCCATTTGCAAATTTTCGTTACGACTTTCTTAGCAAGATGTATTTGAGCCAGGGGGTGGGTATGAAGGAAAGAAACTAACATTTGATCACCCAGTTCTGTTCTAAGCACATTGTGAGAACATGAAGAGTTTGAATGTTAGTATGTTTGGGTGGTAAATTTTGCAGAAATAATTTTTTTTTAATTTTTATTGTTTTATTATTCATATGTGCATACAATGTTTGGGTCATTTCAGAAATAATTTTCAAACTTTTCCCTTGAAAACTTCCTGGTACCTGCTTCAAGGGCTGGAATTAAAGTTAGAGAAGGCAGAGTTACATATGTAAACGTATTTATTCAGTATTTATAGGGCATCTCTTATGTGCAAAGCAAGTTTTAATGTTTGGCAGCAAACAAGACAGCTAAGGTCGCGACTGTCACTTAAAAGAATTCTAGTAAAGACAAAAAGCAAATATCTAATGAAAAAGAAGTGACTGGTGAGTGTGGTGGTGTATACCTATAATCCCAGTACTCCAGAGCTGAGGGTGAAGATAAATTGGGTCTAGGAGTTCAAGGCCAGCCTGGGCAGCATAGCAAAATTTGGTCTCTTAAAAAACAAAACATGACTGACAGGTCCTGAGGGTCATTGATGATGATATTCTTTCTGATCTAGGTGCTTCTTAGTGGTGTCTTCAGTGTATTTCAAGAAAAAAATAAGTGCTTGACCAGGCGCGGTGGCTATCTTTCTGTGTACTCTAAAACTTCAAATTTTCTTTTTTTTCCCCCAGTACTGAGGTTTGAACTCAGACCTTTGCACTTAGGCTGGTGCTCTACCACTTCAGCCATGCCCCCAAGCCCTTTTTGCTGTGGTTAATTTGGAGATAGTGTCTCCCTTTTTCCCGGGCCAACCTGGACTGCCATCCTCTTCATAGTTGGGGTTACAGGTACAGAACACCACACCCAGCCTTTCTGTTGAGATAGGATCTTGCAAACTTTTTGTCCAGGCTGGCAGCTGGCCTTGAACTGATCTTTGCCTCTTGAGTAGCTAGGATTACAGACGTGAGCCATTGTACCCAGCTCAGATTTACTTTTGATGTCAAATTATATTAAGTGTTCCTTATGTCACCTTGTAGAAAAGCCTAGTTTTGGTAGACGTCACAGAGACCCAGGTGAGGGCAGTTAGAGAGCAGCGGTTGTGGAGTCAGATCTTCAAGTTCTGCGAATCCAGCAGGACAAGGCAATCTTGGAATGGATTTCAGAAGCCAGATGGCATTGGTTGGAAATCAGATCTATACAGTTGATAGCCCCCAAGAGAACATTGGGCCTCCGAATGTTTATTACTATTTTCTGATGGTTTAGTGGTGGTGGTGGTGGTGGTGGTTCTTTATACCCTCCACGCTATCCTGGAGCTTGCTGTACAGCTCAGGCTGGCTTCAAATTCTCAATCCTCCTGCCTCAGCTGCCTGTGTGCTGGAGTGGTGGATGTTCTTATTTCAGGTTTTCTTCTCCCAGAATGGCAGTGTCTCTTCAAAATTCTCCAAATGGAAAGAGAAAACAAGCTGTCATATTAGTATTTCAGGGGGACTGCTACAGGTGAAGGGGAAGAGAGTGGGGCAGACTACATATGTGAGATATTTAAGAGACATTAAGCCAGGCACCAATGACTCACTCTGTAATCCTAGCTATTTGAGAGGCTGAGCTCAGGAGGATTGTGGTTGGAGGCTAACACAGGCAAATAGTCTATGAGACCCCCCCTCTCCAAAATAATCTGAACAAAATGTCCTGGAGGCATAACTCGAGGCATAAAAGCGCCTGCTTTGTGAGTGTGAAGCCCTGAGTTCAAACTCCAGTCTGTCTGATCCCTGTCCCCGCAACAAGAGACATCAGCATTTACTGTGTATGCCCATGTATATCTGTGCTGTTACTTGTTGGGTTTGACACTGGGTACTGCTCAGGTTTGAAAGTAGGAATTGGGTTTTTAACAACATCAATATTTACATTTTTTCTCAGGTAAGAAAGCCAATTTAGGCAAGAATGCAAGCCTCAGCGTGCACCATGGGTCAGCAGTAGAAATCGCTGTGGAGACCAGTACACCCAAGCAAGGACAGAACCTATGGTAACGTGAGCATTCGATTAGTTGCTCTTTTTTCCTTTCAGATGTTAAGGAAGATGATTTCTTGTATTTCAAAACTTACTGCATTAGTTGTGCTCAGTGGATCACACTTACAATCCCAGCTATATGGGAAGTGGACATAGGGGTATTGTCTGCTACCCTCAGCAGAAAGTTAGTGAGACCCTGTCTCAAAGACCCAAGCCATGTGTGGTGGTCATGGCCGTAATCCTGGCTATGTGAGAGGCATAGGTATAAGGATCGAGGTCTGAGGCCAATCTTGGGCAAAAGCTCAGGACCCTATCTGAAAAATAACTGAAGTGAAAAGGGCTGAGGAGAGGGTATATAGAGCACTTCCTAGCAAGCATGAGGCCCTAGGTTCAAGCTCTAGTGTTGCTCAGTACCCTCCCAACATCCCCCCCACACAGAAAAAGACAAACCTGCTCTCTGCTTTAAAAACAGATCTGATAAATAAGGGCAAAATAATTTCTGCTGGGTATTGAGGGTGGGGGAGAGGGAGGGGGCGGAGTGGGTGGTAAGGGAGGGGTGGGGGCAGGGGGGAGAAATGAACCAAGCCTTGTATGCACATATGAATAATAAAAGAAAAATGAAAAAAAAAATAAAAATAAAATGAAGGAAAATAAATAAATAAATCAAAACAGATCTGATATTTGATCATTTTTCTTCATGTTTGAAATTTGATTTTTTTTTTCCCTCTACGATGCAATTTTGTATGTTATGAGTCTTACATAACATTGGAAATATTGGAGGTGCTCTTGAATCTATTTGGGAGTAGGAGTGTTTTACTTTTTTTCTTGAACTAAATTTTATTAAAATTTATGGATTTAGTCATTATACATTATATATAAATATGTACGAATTAAATTTAAAATCGATTTATTGAGTAAATGTTATTAGTTGAAGTGTAAAGATTCTTTACAGCCATTTGTCTTGCTTGTGCACAGTTCTGCTTCAGGCAGGGAGCTAGGTTTGGGGAGGATCCCTTCTGCTTTGATGGCATTAACTGCTGTAGCAGTATAGTGGCCTTGGCTTGGAGATTTGGGTCTTTTGAAGTTGTGTGGACAGATGTTTCCTTGAACTGTATAGCTTGTCTCTTTGTACAGAATTAATGTCCTAGGGTAAAGAGGGAGTGAGTGGCTCTAACCACAGGCACTAGACTGTGAGCAAGTTTGGAATTCGGCATTTCTAATTCCACCGGTGGTGGGTCACTTACCCCTTCCTTTGTGGTGATTTTCGTGGTTTTTCAGAGCTATAAGGTCTGTTTTGCCTTTACAGGTTTTTATGTGATAGTCAGAAAGAGCTGGATGAGTTACTAAACTGCCTTCATCCCCAGGGAATAAGGGAAAGTCAGCTTAAAGAGAGACTGGAGAAGAGGTAAGGACTTCCATCTTGTTTCTGACATCTTCTCTTCGGCTTCAACATAAATAACTTAGCAATGGGACTTATTTTTGTTTCTTTATGAGCTATTAAAGTAAAAATTTAGCCAGGCCATGGAGGCTCATGCCTGTAATTCCAGCTACTCAGGAGGCAGAGATTATGAGGATCACAATTCACGGTTAGCCTGGGCAAGCAGTTAGGGAGACCCTATCCCGATCAGTAAAAGCTGGGTGTGATGGCAGGCTCCTGTCACCCCAGCTATGTAGAAGGGATAAATAGGAGGATCCGTAGTTCAGGCCGGCCCCGGCACATAAAGCAAGACCCTAGTTGAAAAATAACTACAGCAAAAGGGCTGGGGACATGGATCACGTGGTAGGGCGCCTGCCTAACAAGTGTAAGATCCTGAGTTCAAATCCTAGTACCGAAAAAATAAGTAAATGCATGGATGGACTGATGGCTAGATGAATGAGTTCTAAGCAGACAAGTTTAAGTGGTTCTAGTTTGGTAGCAGTTTTCTGGCACCAACAAGCAAATGCAGATTCTCTGGAGGAGTGCAGCATCAAACGAGGCCTCCTACAATTAATTCCCTCGTATAAAGTTCCAGGAAGCGATTTTAGAATTAAGAAAAATAATAAAGAGACATTAAAAATTTTGTATGAGAAGCAGGAGACTACCAAGAAACAGCAAGGGGAAATGAAAAGAAGTCGCAGTGCTTCTTCTAGAAATAAAGGCTGCTGTTCAAGTTTACTTCTCCCTTTTTCTTTGCCCCACCTCTTGCAGGTACCATGACATCATTCACTCCATTCATCTGGCTCGGAAGCCAAATTTGGGCCTGAAATCCTGTGATGGCAACCAGGAGCTCTTAAACTTTCTCCGGAGCGACCTCATCGAAGTCGCAACCAGGTTACAGAAAGGAGGACTTGGTTATGTGGAAGAAACATCAGAATTTGAAGCTCGGGTAGGAATCCAAGAACACACCTTCTGAAATCTTACTTATGGATACCCAAGTTCAATTTGAAACTCTTCCTGAGTCATAAATACTGCATTGAACTGCCTGACACATCCCAAGAAATCAGATGTTTGGGTTTGTCTCGAAAAATTATTTATATACATACATTTTTTTTGTCATCTTTTGCTGGATCTAGAAAAAAGTTGACTTAGAACCTTCGTTGAAAATCAGCTTTATCTGTTCAACCAATGAAGTTATTATTTCAAGCTAACATCATTTAAATGTGTCTTTCCCTGTGATCTGTGCTTCACAGTAGGAAACTCCTGTGTGTCCTGCTTTTGTCCATTTGTCACACCCAGTCAGCTCAGCAGGGCTGTGGACTGCATTCCAGTCCTACATTTACTGCTGAACACAGCCTTCAGTGGTGCACAGGACACTGTGCAAGAAGGAGGTCACGTGTCCCACGTTAGACAGGTTTAGGTACCAAAACTGCTACCCAAGCTGTTCTTTGTTTTTTAAGACAGGCTGTTACTATGTAGTCCAGACTCAAGCTCAACTCTTGATCCTCTTACCTCAGACTCCCAAGCACTGGGATTATAGGTGTGCACCACCATTCCTGGCTTTCTTAATGATTCTTTTTTTATCTTAAAGAATTACTGAACTCTAATGATTTTGCCAGGTACAAGTATTATACATTTATATTTTGAAGGAAAGTAACTTTATTTTTAATATAACATGTAGTTAACAGTACTATGTCAGAATGTTATAATTGATAAGAGTAATCTGTATTCTAAAGTATATTTTAGTATAGCCAAATTTTCACCCATTTTGAAACGTAAAGTGGCCAATTGTAATATCCTTACTATATATCTTACAGCTTTAAAATATTAGCCAAAAATTCTAGTCTGCAAGTAAAAGCAAGAGTTCTCTTATATCCAAGACATATCAAATATGTTGCTAACAATATATTTTAAGTCCATTTCAACTGTTTCCTTTAGGGCAGGATAAAAGCAGTAATAGTATATACATTTGCTTTTTTATTTAGCAAGTATTTATCAGGAACTGTGCTAAATCCAGGCCTATGCTTTGCCAATAATCAAGTTATTTTTTTTTGTGGCTCTAATATGATATTTCTCAATTGGCATTCGTTGTGTTCCTTAAGTGTGTGATTTTAGCGTTAGGCCCTGAGTTCAATTCCTTGTGCTGCCAAAACAAACATGATTTTGATGAAGGGATTCTGTTGTCTCATCTATAAAACAGATGTGAGGATTAGAGATGCACGTAAAGTACTTAGAGCATAATACCTTCCAGTAAGCCAGAAAGTGAGTGGACTTTAATTTTCCTCAGTTAGTCTTTGCGTTAAGATTGTAGCTTACCCATAGCAGGTCCTCAGTAATTATTGAACGTGTGAGTTCCTGAAGTGGAAGGAATTGTAGCATTCTAAGTAACTCCCTAAATAAAGTTGAGGAAATTGAAGCCTTTTGTGGATCCCATCACTGGGAAAATGGAGGGTAACAAACCACTTTCAAATATGCCATCCACCCAGAGGCCAGAAAGCAGGTAAATTATGTTGTAGCACTTTTGATACTTGAGTCTGGGATCCTTTGGATTTAAAGACACAGATTTTCTTCGTCTTTCTCTTGGCCTTCTTCAAATATAAAGTTTTTTTGGGGGTGGGGGTGCAGTTCCACTAAGGTCTGAACCTAGGGTCATGTTCTTTCAAGGCCAGTGCTCTGCCACTTGAGCCACACCTTCAGCTCAGTGTAATTTTTAAATAATTTCCCATAGGTTGTTTCCCTAGAGAAACTGAAGGATTTTGGTGAGTGTGTCATTGCCCTTCAGGCCAGTGTCATAAAGAAATTTCTCCAAGGCTTCATGGCTCCCAAGCAAAAGAGAAGAAAATTCCAAAGTGACGATTCAGTAAAAGCGGAGGAAGTGGATGAAGAGAGAAGGATGGCAGAGGAAGCAAAGGTATTTGTCTGCTTATTGAAGTGTTGTCAGTGGCTGTGTGGAAGCGTTCAGTTCAGCTTTAAAATATGCTACTTCTTTTTAGAACTTATTTTCCACTAAATTTGTGTTTTCAAACTGGGCTGTGGAGCACAACTCTACTTGTGGGGCTGTGCCCCTTTCACCAGGCCTTGATTCTATTTTTAAAAAGGAATGGTAGTTTTTAAGTATTTAAAAAAATTTTTTTTAAATTGCAGTAAAATACACATAATGTAGAATTTACCATTCTGTGTGTCCGTTTCTGTGGCCTCAACCACAGTCCTTGTGCAGACACCATCCCATCCATCCCTAGAACTTTATCTTCCCACCCTGAAGCTGCCCATGGAAACCACCAAGCTCCTCACTTCTCCATCCTTGCCAACACTGTTCTCCTCTGTTTCTGAATTTGTCCACTGCACAGCCTCTTATGAGTGGAACCATGCAATGTGTCTCATGACTGGCCTGTGTCACTTAGTGTAGTGTCCTCAAGGCTTGTTCGTGTTGCGACACATGTCAGAAATGCTGTTTCTTTGAAGGCCGAGTGCCATTCTCCTGTATGTTCAAAGAAAAGCACTTCTGCTCAGCAGACGTGTGAGTTCCTTCCATAGCAAGCAGCTCTTCAATTCTTTGCCCAGGAGTATACTTCAGAGTCATTAGAGGCACGTATGGAACACTTCACTGTGTACAATTTAATGTACATCAATTAAAAACATAATTGAAGTGAGAGGGTTATTCTTGCCTGTCGCAAGTCCTAGTTTGCCACCTCTACTGGCTGTATATTGAAGGTTGTCACCTTCTGCAGGCTGAGTAAATTGCTAAAACGGCTCGTACGGTGCAGGGAAGCATTTAACTGAGGTTTACTGCGTACAACTCAGGAACAGCCAGGTGGAAGAGATGCATAGAGCAAGGCACAGGGCTGAGGGTGCAGAAGCTCCTGCGTCCTCTCTGGACACTGCCCTCCGGCATCCTAGGTTTCCCCTGTGCTAAGTCTGGAGGGCTCACACAGATGCAGAAAAGCTTAACTTTTCTAACTTAATTTGTTTAAATCAAAACTTAGTTTGAGTATGAGAGGCTGAGAAGCAGGGAGAGTTACAGTAGTGTGACAAGTAGGTGTTCCTTGCCTTTGTCATGGTTTATGTTCCCATAACTCCACAGTACGCTGAAGATAGCGCTAAGTGGAATATGCATCAAATGCCTACCCTAGCACACCTCAGAGCTCAGCAACACAGCGCGGTGGAGCCTGACTTGTTTCCCGCTGTAACTTGGGGTCCACAGTGTCTGCATATCCCTGTCCCTGCTTTGCTCCCCGAGAAAGTGTCGGCAGTGTTATCATTAGCTCAGGAAAAGACCTAAATGTGTACTGAACGAATATCACTTTCACACCATCTTTAAGTATAAATTTCCAAATCGAACCATCCTAAGTCAGGACCATCTGTACTCGTGAAAGGTGCAGTTCTCAGGTATCCCTCCCAGTGAGAGCTTCTCAGAGAAGACGAGACGACAGAGGTACTGGGGCTTAAACAAGTAGGGATGGATCGTGTCACAAGTTCATGCCAACTGAAATTGGCCTCGTTGTCACTGATGACTTTACACAGAATAAGTCTACTTCCTTTGTGAAACACCACAAACACCTGCACCCAATTGTCATGCGCAAGACCACAGGCAATAGGTGATTCAGGGAAGACCAGGTAAGTTATAGCAGAGAATAAAAATTCAGTTTAGGTAAAGGGTTCAGTCACAACTCAGGCAATTCATGTGCCTTCTGGGACAGCTGTCACCTTCCTGTGTTCTTTTAATGAGCAGTTAGCAGCTAGGCAACCTTCCAGACACTAGGTCGTTGTCATCAACTCTGTTTTGCTGTCTTCTCATTAGTCATATTTTTTTTAGTCTTCTGAATGCTACATGTGTTTTGTTTTTAAGTTGGTTCTTTACAGACTCTTCTTGATGTGCTCTTACCAACAGGCCCATCTTCGCCTGTCTTTTATTTACCTGTAATGTTTTCTTCTCACTGAGAACTAATAGGTAGAGGATTCCCATTAAGTTTTTTTGAGTGTTAAACACCACAGTGAAATGACTTCTTGGCTTGACACATGAGACATGTCCTTTGCTTCTGAGGGAAAATGTGAGCCTTCCGCAGGTGCAAACGCACAGTGCAGCAGTGGACACACAGACAGCTTCTGGGAAAGTCAGAGCACCTCAAGGGTTGCGCCTGCTCTGTGAACAGGGCTGTGCCACGCATTCCCACACAGGCGGCCTGCCACAGCTCAGACGTTTCCACTGTCCTTTGCTTCGAAAGTTTCCACTCAGCAAGGGCCAGGGATTTTTCAGCTGGCACAAGGCAAGTTTATGTCAGTCTGTCATCTGGGCTCCAGTTTCCTTATTTACAAAGCAGATTGTTTCTCCTTCAGATCCCTTTTGTAATAACGGGTGGGCTCAGGTATTTAATGCTTATTTTCTGTCCCTGAATTAAGTGGACAGATCATGTGTAATCTGGCAAAGTACTGGGTTTCATTTGACTTTCTCTTTACTTTGCTTACCTTGGTCCTGACAACCTGGTTATGGTTTTCCTTTTATTTATTTATTTATTTTTGTAGGGCTGGGGTTTGAACTCAGGGCCTCACTCACGCTTACGAGGCACGCACTATACCTCTTGAGCCACTCTGCTAGCCCATTTTGTGGTTGGTGGTTTCTGAGATAGGGTCTCAGAATATAGTGGATTTGTTTTGTTTTTTTTTTTTTGGTGGAACTGGAGTTTGCACTGAGGGCTCAGTACTTGCAAAGCAGGCACTCTTATCACTTGATCCACACCTCCAGTCTGTGTATTTTTTGTTTTACCTCTTAATGTACTAGATTGTTTGACATTTTGTGCAATGAGAGACCAGAATTTTGTCAAATCTTCAGTATCTAATGTTTCTGCCCTCCAGATTGGAGGCTGGCTAGAGTCTGCTGAAGTGGGTAACTCCGAAGGTAACAGGATGCTAATTATTCCCCAGAAACCATTGAAGTGGAAATCTTGAGGCCTGACTCAGGGTGGTGGTGAAACCTTGGGCAGACTTTCTTCCCTTGTAAAGTAACAAGTGACTGTCACATGACCTTTCATAGCAGCAGCATTCTGAATAACCAACACAGGGAAACAACCCACATGTGCACCAGCTGTAGAAGGACAAAGAAAGTGTGTCTATGCACAACGAGATACTGCTCAGCAATGACGTGGAATGAAGTGCTGTCACATGCTTTGTGAGTGAACCTAGCACATGTTCAGTGAAAGAAGCCAGTGACAACAGGTCACCTGTGGTAGACCATTGGTTTCAAAAAAAAAAAAAGTAAGAAGAAAATCCATTTCAGAAAAGGCATGGGGGTGTTAAATAAGCTTATTCCCAACATCTCTTCAAATTTCTTAAAAATTTGTAATAGAGTCTGATGAGTTGTGTATCCAGATTTTGTATTCCATAGGAAATGATTAAAAGTAAAACAGTACACATGTGACTGTTTTGTGTGCATTGCACTTGACTGTCCACTAGAGGATAGCCACGCCCACTTGTCACTTCCTGTTTATTATCAGTAGCAATCTCTCTACTGAGGAACTAAACCTAAAATTGTTAAATTTATATGCCATCTCAAAGATTTGAGGACTGGGGGTGTGGGCAAGTGGTAGAGTGCCCACCCAGCACAGTCCTAAATTCAAGCTCCAATATCACATACACACAAAAAAAAAAAAGAAAGAAAATTTGGGGTTATCTGTTGATAGGGGCGTCTGCAGTACTGTGTGTCAGTATTCCAGTGTATCATGGCAGCTCTGGCATGCTCTTCTGCCTCACTAAGGCTCTCGCCTTGTTTCTCAAAGCAAATGTTGCAATACCTGCAGCAGAGACGTCCACTAGGACTTTGTAGCCTCTGTTTAAGGTGCAGATTCTTGTGTGTTTATGTCATTCATCCTTGCTACACATAAATTTATATACACAAGGCTCTCTGGGATTCTGTATTTCTATAGGAAAGAGAAAAGACAGCCTTCATACCTTTCCCTGAGCTTTCATACCACTCAGAGGTAGCTGACCTGCCCCTTGACAGCTCTGTTAATTTTTAGTTTTATTTTTGGCAGTGCCAGGGACCAAACCAGGATCTGATGCTCTTCCACTGAGCTATACTCCCAGCCCTCTGATAGGAGTTTTTGTGTTGTTTGTTCTGTTTTGTTTTTGGAAGCAGGACCTTCTATGTAGCCCAGACTGCCCTTGAATTCATGACCCTCCTACTACAGTCTCCAGAATGCTGGAATTTACAGGGATGCTGAGATTACAGTCATGGTTGTAGTTTTTGACTGAGAATGATAGCACTAAGTTAGCATTTGTTTACATATATACTCATTTGACCATTTAAACTAGAAATGCTTTGAAAATCTAAAAAATCAACTTTTTGATTAACGAAATAGTAATACAAATGAATTTGATTAAAATGGCATTTCTGTTCCTCCTTAGGATATACATTTTATAGGGAACAGTCATGTTTATGACTGAAGTTTTCTAATTAGGGAATTTCTAATTCCCCCCCCATCCTGACTGTTTTACTTGAACTAATTTAGCATTTCCTGATAATGGGAGGAGGCACGGAACATATGCTAATATTAAGTGTTTACAGTGAAGTTTGGTTAACCTGTGAACTTGAAAAATTCCCCTTTTAGTTAAAAATTGAGAAAAAAAGACAAGAGGAGTATTTTGGTTCTGGGACCTGAACCTGGTACCTTTAAAGGTGTTGAGCACTTTGTTGATACTATTTGCCTTCCCAGGCCCTGTGATCTGGCACAGATCATGCTGAAAGAGCCTTCATCTGAATTTTGAAATGGATTTCATCGGATAAGATCTGCCCCTGGTCATTCCTCCCTCCTTCCCTCTTTTTATTTTTTTTGGTGGGTCTGGGATGTGAACTCAGGGCTTTGCATTTGCAAAGCAGGCACATCTGCAGTCTGCTGTGGTTATTTTGGAAATGGGGTCTTGAGAACTGTTTGCCCAGGCTGGCCTCGAACCTGACCTCAACCCTCCCTTTAATCTTTCTGTGACCTTTAGCTTTTTTTTTTTCCAACCCTTTCTTTTGTGGGGGGAGGAGAGGGGGTTGTTGCTAGTGTGTGTGTGTGTGATACTAGGGTTTTGAACTTAGCCTCAGGTTGCTAAGCAGACACCCTGCCACTCTGCCAGTCCTTTTTTTACCCTTTGGGGTCTTGGATTTTTTTTTTTTTTTTCCCTGCAAGATTGAGTATGTTGGATTGGTAAAACTCTAGGAGCAGGTGTCCTCAGAGCCCTCCCGCTCCATCTCTGCACCCGTGCCCAGTCCTCGGTGTGTAATGACACTGTAGTGATGCTGATCTGGCTTGCTCTCCATGTAGGTTGCATCTGCCCTGGAGAAATGGAAGAGTGCAATCCGCGAAGCTCAGACTTTCTCTCGGATGCATGTACTGCTTGGGATGCTCGATGCCTGCATCAAGTGGGACATGTCAGCGGAAAATGCCAGGTGCAAAGTGTGCCGGAAAAAAGGTATATTTCCATCAAGTTCGCTCTCCAAAAGAATTGTATGGCCACAGATTTCAAGTGTGGTGGGACAGGTTTTCCCTTCTCTAAAGGTCTGTCGGATGCTGGTCTCTGAAGCTACATGCTGGGGAGTCAGAGCGAGACAGCAGAGCAGTTGATGTCTCCAAGCCAGTTCTCTACAGAGAGCAAATTTAGTTGTGTAAAATTTAAAATGCTTTATTAGCTCAGGGCTTTTAGTCACCTGTGAAGTAAGGTGGACACTTCCAGCAGGGGGCAGTCTTGTGCACCGAGTCCCATAGAACAAAGCATTGGGGTGTTTAATGCTGAGGGCTTTCAGATCTCGTGTGTGCAAAAGGAACCTGATGACCAAAAGTCACTTAAGAATTAGGTGAGGGCTTAGTGGGTGTGAAATCAGTTGCTGTACCACTGGTTTAGAACGACAGTGGGAGAGGGGAGTTAACCGTGTGAAGTTGATTGAGTGTATTTTCAAATGTAAGGAAACCAAGTGCTCTGGGAGCCACAGCCCTGTGTGGGGTGGAGAAGAACAGTAGAGTGTCAGCTCCCTCGTAGTAACTATTAATTGTCCTCATCCTGAGCGGTTTTGGGGAGACAAGCTAGGAGGCCTCATCCCTAGTTGCGGATGGTCTGGTGTGCGCTGCACTTCTTTCCGACAATGAGTGCATTTACAGCAGCAACAGCGGGGTGGCGCTGTAGGACGCATCTGTTCTGAACTGTGGGCTGAGGACAGCTCAGTGACTGTTGCTGTGCTGCCGGCAGTGCTGTGCAAGTTTATCTCTTTGCAGGTGAGGATGACAAACTGATCTTGTGTGATGAGTGTAATAAAGCCTTCCACCTGTTTTGTCTGAGGCCGGCCCTCTATGAAGTACCAGATGGCGAGTGGCAGTGCCCAGCCTGCCAGCCTGCTACTGCCAGGCGCAATTCCCGTGGCAGGTGAGAATGTTTTCTTTTAAAAATAAAGGCATGAGTTAGTTAGCTTCGGGTATTCAGACTGAGTGATGGTCAAAGCCAGATCACTTAACGGTGCTTCCATGGGAGCAGTAAGTGCTCCGTTGACACTGCCACTTTTCCCTGTACTCACATTGTCCATCTTCTCAATCATTCTTCCTAGGTAACCAGATGTCTCCCTCTGCCTTTTGCCTCCACTTTGCCCTCTTCTTTCTCCTTCTTGGGTACCTGGAACCAGCCGCTGCTAGGAATCTTTGGTCGAATGCATGACCTTCCCGACCCATGCTTAAAGCTTTGGGGTCAACTTGGACATGAAGTTCTTGTCCTTTATCCTGCATATTTGTTAATTTCCCCAGTGTTAGCAGTGCGGTGTCCAAATGTGTTGTGAGCTCCTTACCTGCCCCGCATTGTGTCTGCTCCCTGCTGCTGTTCTGGCCTCCACCCTTCACCCGAGCTCTCCTGGTGCCACTCCAGCTCCTTCTCCTTGCCTCCCGCCCTTCCCCTCTAGTTGGCCAGCTGTCGTCATTGCTCACTGACATCCGCAAGGCAAAGGTCAGCTCACTTTGCTCCCTAAAGCCCAACTTCTCGTTGCTAGCACATTGCTTACACAGCAGTGGCTGAGGGCTCTCAGACAGACCACACTCCCTCGCCTAACTTTTCAGATTCCAGCACTTTGTTAGCTTAGTTTTCTGGGCCCTGAATCCTTTCCTTGTGTGCAACTTGCAGACTGCTAGTTGTTCATCCCCGCCTCGTGGGCTTCCCTTCATCCGGGAATCCTCTCTGCCCAGCACTCGCAACTAGGTCAAAGCCCATGGCCCAGCTCACATCGTGCTGCTTTTTCCCCAGGTCAGTGTAAGGACTTACACTGAATTGTTCCTCCTCTGTGGCAGCTAAGCTTCTGGTCTCTAACGAGGACTGTGGCACCCACTTCTTGCTTTTCCATCACTCCTATGCATGGCTGCTTCCCTGAGACTGTGTCTATGAGCAGGGGTGCTGCAGTGTTCTGCACTGGAGGCACCCAGTATTTGCCAAGTTAATGTCATGGTTTTCCACATTGAGATATTTAAGGCTGTAAAAGGGGCAGCTTATGAGCACGCCACCTCGGTCTCTGTTGTACATGGCAGAGCCGTTTGATCCTGACCCTTCCCCACCTTACCCGTATTGCTGCGTTATTTCTTACTCTGCCGGTTACACTTAAGAGCCGAGGCATGCTGCTCTGAGATGGCGGGGCTTTGGACAGCTGCTCAAAGCTGCTGTGGGCTGGGATTACCATGGCTTTGATGTGTGGTCATTTGCAAGCTGTCTCAGCTCCTGGAAGCAGGCCATCAAGGTGGAGTCACACCTGTCTGGGCTGTTTACCCTTTCAGTCCACCAGCATTGCGGGTAGTGTTAGTATCTGAAATGTTACTTTATCTGGCTCTTTTTGGGAGACAGAAGTCACCATGTTTTGTGGGGGGAGAGGTAGGGTTCCTTGTGACCTTGATTTCTATTGTCCTTGGTCTCTTGTTCAAGTCCTTGGGACTCTAGGTGGCTCACCATTGCAGCTTAGCTTTTCATCCTGTGACAACTGCCCAGGCCTAGGTTTACGGCCTGTCCCCTCGTTATTGACTCTTACCTCATTTGTGAAGGAAAAATGTGACTAGGATCCCTGTGGGACTTCAGGGGCTATTTAGGTGAGAGCTGAGCTTCCAACATGACCTTTCCTCCTATAGGAATTACACTGAAGAGTCTACCTCGGAGGACAGTGAAGATGATGAGAGCGACTCAGAGGAAGAAGAGGAGGAGGGGGAGGAGGAGGAGGAGGACTATGAGGTGGCCGGTTTGCGGCGTAAGTACCAGTTTGTCTCTGTAGTTGACTTCGCAGTCTCCCAGGCTGTCAGTAGACTGTATTGTCATTTTGCTGTCTTCCTTTTATCTTGTGGCTGTGGCTAACCGAGCTGCCATGGTTAAGTTGGTTTTCAAGCGGCCATTGCTGACCATCTGCCCAGCTGGAGGTAAGCAGGCTTGGTCTCAAGAGCAGCGTCCTGTGGCAGACTCACCTGCTAGAAGGTTCAGCAAATTCAGGGTCCTCAGCATGTTCGTGCAAGGCCACTGGTCTGCTGCCTCTGTGGATGGGGGCGGCAGGGTGAGGAAGGTCTAGGCCATTGCCATTTCCTGATGGTCTTTTGACCTCCGAAAGCACAGTGCTGCTTTTTTTTTAATTGTGCTGGGGGGTGCTTAGACATTTACAAAAGTTCTTACAGTGTATCATACTTGAATTCACCCCTCCATCATTCTCCTTTTTCTCCCCTCCCTCTAGTCCTGGAACAGTTTCAACAGCTCTCACTTTTCCACTTTCTTTTTTTCCATTTTCATACACAAGTATATAATATTCCACCATATTCACCCTCCTACACCCACAGTTCATTTCCTCTCTGGTTACACTGATTTTCTCTTTTCTGGAGTGTTTGGGTCTATAGCTTTGCTAATTTGGAAAGAGAACTCAGATTTTTTCCTTGGTTTAAGCATAAGGGTGTTAGGAAGGTTCAAGTCTCTTTTCACTGGGCTGATGCCCCATCACTCAGGCTGTCCACAAGGACGTTTGTGTTCTCAAATCCACTTTCCATGCCTGGACAGTCTCGTCATTGACATGGTTAACCTCCTCCAGTTCAGCCTTTCCTCTTTCCAGAACACACTCCGAAACACTAGGCCACATGACCTGACCCTCGCAGCTCTGCACAGTCATTCTTGGTGTGAGGAGAAAGAGCTGGTGTTGGGCATGACCTGTGCAGTGATAATGCCAACAGCCTCAGGTCTCACAGTGCAGGCTTCTGACCTCTGACCTCCGCCCTCCTCCCTCACAGGCCATTTCCACAAGAGCCCTGCCCAGCATCCCCAAAGAGAATCAGCACGAAGGCACAAGGCTGCTTGTGTCTCTGGTTCACAGCAGGTGCTGGATGTCAGGCGACCCTGCATTCCTTGCTCTGCAAGGATTAACTCGAGGCTTCTCCAGCAAACCATTTTCCAGGACCGCCTCTCGCTAATGCCCTGGATGTGGGAGATGACATTTGGGCAGGGATGGTGTTCAGAGAGGACTATAGAACGATGCTCCCCGTTCTATTTCTGGACCATGCTTACCCTTCCTTGGCTATTTTGAGCCTTCACCTCAGCACTAGGTGGTTAGGGGACAGTAAAAAGGGGGAGAGGCCGAGGCACTATTCAGGTGCTCAGGCTTGAGCTGCACCAGGGACCACAGCTGTGGTAGCCTGTAAGGTTGGGTACACAGAGGGTTCTGAAGTACCAACTACTTCTTAGATCCTTCTGGCTTGTGGAAGTGGCCTCTCCCATCATCTAGTCTCAGAAAGCAAGAAAGCAGAACTGGAGCCAGTCCTGAACTGGCTTGCAGGGATGGCCTGTCCCTTCATGTAAGTGCCAGCTTGTCTCTGAAAAAAATGGCTGGTGAGTGTGGGATAACTCGGCTATGAGCTGGGTCCACCTCACACAGGACACGCTCAGCTGAACTATAGGGGTTCAGGCTGCTGATGGCAAATTACACCGCCGAGCACATCACTGTTCAGTTCACTCCTCCGAGGGCTTGTTCCTGGGGGCCTGAACAGGGTGGGTGAGAGACAGAAGTGCTAGAAGACCTGGCCTTCAGGAGTTGAGGAAAGGTGTGCCTCTTCACCTGCCCTTGCCACCTGTTGGTGTCCTGCTACAGAGGGCAAAAGAGAAAATTCCTGCTCAGCCCCTCTCCTCCACGCTTCTGCTCTGAGTCTCTATTTTTACTTCAGTGAGACCTCGAAAGACCATCCGGGGCAAGCAGAGCGTCATCCCCACCGCATCGAGGCCAGGCCGTCCACCGGGTAAGAAGTCCCATCCTACCAGGAGGTCGCAGCCGAAGCCACCACCTGTGGATGATGCTGAGGTTGATGAGCTGGTGAGAGCATTTACCGCCCTCCCTCTAGCTTCTGTGTTTCCTACTCCCCACCCAGCATTGGGCATTCCCAAGGCAACAGGTGGGTGGGTTCCTGGGCAGACAGGGCCCAGCAGGCCCTCCAGGAGCAGCTATGTCCGCATTCCCCGGCGCAGCGTGCGCCGTGGCTCCGCTAGTTAGCAGGCAGCCTGTAGCTTGTTAAGGGTTTTAAAATAGTACCCATGTGTCTCTGGTGGGCCCGGAGGGGTGGGCCTCCCTTGCGGGAATGTCAGCAATGTGGGAGCCTCACTAACTGTCGGGTCTCTCACCGCAGTTGTTACGGGAGGGGCACTGCCCTCCCCTCTGCTTCTCAGCTGGTGGGACTTCAGCAGTTTTATTTTAGAGCTTACTTGAGCTTAGAAGAACAGAAAGAAGCTCTTGAAAATTCGATTGTTTTCACAGATTAAATTGGGATTGTGTCAGAGCAGCCATTGGGGAGATCAGAAGGCACAAAGATCCCTCTTTGCTGCAGCTTCTGTGCTGTGAGCCCCAGCTGGTCAGGACTACCTGGGAGGGAGGCCTGTTCTTCTGTCCCTCTGACCTTAGCCGCCTCCCACATGCCTGCAGTGAAAGAGCCTGAGGAGGGGAGGGCTTTGGACTCTGGCTTTTCCTCAGAGACCCCACCCCAACAAGGTTGACTGTGAATGGTCCAGTTTGCTACCCATCATGGGGTCACCAATAATCCCAGGCCCATCTGCTCTCAGGGCTCATGTTCTGGCCACAGTGTCCCCTTCAGCCACCGTCTAGCTGTTCTGCCTGCCCTCTGCTGCTCTGATCACCATCCACCAGGATGGGTAACTGGAAGATGCCGACCCTGGTCTGAGAGCACCACCTGACATTCATTTGGATATCTCTGCTTTAAGAAAGTGGTTGAATTAGGCTTTTTTTTTTGTTGTTGTTGTTGTTGTTGTTGTTGTTTGGGGGGGAGTGGTACTCGGATTCTGGTAGGCAGACATTCTGTCAACCTTTTTCATGCTGGATAGTTTTCAAGATATGGTCTTGCGAACTATTTTATTTGCTTATGTTGCCTCAAACCTTGATCCTCCTGATCTGTCTCCCAAGTAGATTCCAAGTAGGATTACAGGCGTGAGCCACCAGTGCCTGGCTTAGCTTTCTTTTTATTTTTAGCAGACATAAATTTGACCTCCTTGTCTCCTCTCCTCTCTCACCTGTCCTAACATCCTTCTTTCCGCACTAGGTGCTTCAGACCAAACGCAGCTCCCGGAGGCAGAGCCTGGAGCTGCAGAAGTGTGAGGAAATCCTCCAGAAGCTTGTGAAGTACCGCTTCAGCTGGCCCTTCAGGTGAGCCAGCGCCGGGGCGGGCAGCGTCCAGAAAGGCAAGGGCTGAATCCCAGGGACTGTTGGAGTCCCTCCCCTTTCAGGACCTGTGGCAGGTAGTGATAGCTCTTGCAAAGGTGGGCACTCTGGGGCCAGTCTTCTGACACCAGGGTTTTTCTGGGTAGCTTCCAAGGCCATGCACATTTCTTCATTTGGCTGTCCTCTGCAGGGAGCCTGTGACCAGAGAGGAGGCTGAGGACTACTATGACGTGATCACCCAGCCCATGGACTTTCAGACGATGCAGAACAAATGTTCCTGTGGGAACTACCGCTCCGTGCAAGAGTTCCTTACCGACATGAAGCAAGTGTTCACCAACGCCGAGCTCTACAACTGTCGAGGCAGCCACGTGCTCAGCTGCACGGTGAAGACGGAACAGTGTCTGCTGGCTCTGCTGCATAAACACCTTCCTGGCCACCCGTACGTCCGCAGGAAACGCAAGAAGTTTCCTGAGCGGCTTGCTGAAAATGAAGGGGACAGTGATCCAGAACCACTGGGACAGTCCAGGGGACGGAGACAGAAGAAGTAGAGAGGCAGGGCCCTGGTAAGGGAGGGGAGGTGGCAATGGAGGGAGACCACCAGGGAGGGCGGGGAAGGCAAAAGGAAGATGGAGAGCTTAAAGGGGCAGCAGGCAGGATGCCCAGAGACACCTGTCACCCCAAGTTTACTCCCCATTGGGCTTCGTTCACCCAAAACTCGAGAGCTTCACTTCAGGTATTCTCAAGTCAAGAGCCCAGGGTACAACTGCCTTTCCGTCTGTCCTTCCTTCCTGAGGCCCTCTCCGCCTTGGCACAGCAGCAGTGCCAAGCCCTTAAGGTCTCCAGGGATGGTGCTGTGTTACACAGCAGGATGGAGAATAACCAGGCCAGTGGGGAGGGGCGTCGACCTTTTTCTGAATCTCCATTACACACAGTCCTGTGTCTTTAAGCCCGTACTCTTCTCTTCCCCCTTCTCCCTCTCAGGTGACGGTATCAGTGAGTGCCATACAGAATTCTGTATTCACCAGCATCATGGGACACTTGTGGTCTTTTGAGTTGATCTTGGCAGAGTAAAGGGACATTTCCTGGAGCCATTCCTGAATACCCCTCTCCTTTGTGACAGTCCTCTCCCACTCCCACCCACCTCACTGCCTCAAAAAAAAAAAAAAAAAAAAAAACTAAGGCACTTCACATAGAGACTGGACCTGCTTGTAATCATGCTTATAACCTTGACCTTGATGGATCTGGCCAGAGGGTGTTGGAGCCCAGCTCACCCACACACCAGACAGGCTCTTAGGGCGCAAAGGAGCAGGAAGAGTCGACATGTTGAATTGTTTTTAACGGACTTTTCTAGTTATTAAAAGTTGCTTGTTTCAGCAGTGACATTGTATAAAGAACATCTTGTAAAATATTTGTCATCTTGCTTTGGCACATGTACAGTACGATTTATATGATAATGTGTTCGCTTTACTCCCCCGCCGCTCTCCTTCAGGGAGCCAGGCTGGAGGCCTGTCCAGACCAGCAGTGGGGTCTGGTGGCCAGGGCCCCTGCCCAGTGCCTCCTCCCGTCTGCTTGTCCGTTTCTGCCTCTCCGGCTGTCCTGACCTCAGACTCCTGCGCACTCAGATTTCGGCGGGTGGTTGGCGTTGGCAGCAGGAGCGCCAGGAAAGCTCTGTAGCCAGTCTAGCCTAGTTGTTCCGTTTAGGCGAACGTTTGTAGTCTTCTTTCCCTTTTACCACAGATTTTGATAAAAGTACAAGACAGGGTTTAATTTTCTTTTCTATCAACTTTGAATTTGGAAAGTGTGAGCACCACAGCTCTTAAGGAAAAAAGCAGCCCTCAATAGGGATGGCCACTCCAGGACGCATGCACAGAGCCTCTTGCCAGAACTTTGGGTGTGGTCCCGCCTCGCCCTCTCCTCCCGCCCAGGGATGTGGGGACCTCGCTCCAGTCCCTTCTGCAGGCTTGGGGCAAGCACTGACCTACAGCGTCACTGTCCAGCCACCTCCACCTGCCCTGCTTATCCTGGATCCAGTGTGCCCTCGTTCTAGTGAGAATCCCGTGTTCCCACTGCAGTGACATCTGAATTGTTGGTTTTTGACTTGTCTTTAAGAAGGATGGGTTCCATTAAAAAGGGTGAACTTGTAATAAATTGGAATTTCAAATAAACATGTACTTGTGTTTATAAAGAAGAAAGAACTCTGGCTCCTCCTTTGTGCTGGGGGAGGGGCGGGGCAGGCCTGGGAGCCCTCCTGTGGGGGCCTGGCCCTAATGACCAGGCCTACTGGCCACTGCTTCTCCAAGCTTCCAGGTTGGTCCCTGGTGCTCTGGGCACATGAAGCCTGGCCTCCAAGCCTCCCCCAGCCTGGTCTAACACCCCCTCCCCAACTTTCACTGGAAACCAGGAGTTGAGGGAAGAAGCTCTTAAGGTGTCACAGTGGGAACTTGTGGTGCCCTTTCATTTCAGAGAAACTACTAACAATTTTTTTTTTCAAAGAAAATTTCAGACACAGAAGTGGAACGAATTCCCATGTACTCAGCCTCAGGGGTCTCTACCACGTGGCCACTCCTGTTTTATTAATGCTTTGTGTGTTTTTAAAAGTCCGTGTTGGGTTTGAGCAGGTCGCCTATGGAAGACAAAGGTTTTGGTGGGTCGCTGTCCCATGGCCATTGGCTGAGAAGCAGCTGCCAGGCCTGCTGACCGCAGAACCAGGCCTGGTCAAAGAGAAGGGAAGAGTATGTAGGAAGTTGGCGGTTCTGGGCGCCGGTCTGCCTCAGACCTCAGGCCTTGGTGAGCGTGGGCTGCCGCTGAGCACTCTGGAGAAAGCAGACCAGCTCTCCCGCCCAGCCTCCAACTCTGGGCAGCCTTGTTCTGCAGGGAGCCTCTGGGCTGTGTCCGTCCAGGGGCTGCGTCCTGCTCATCCAGCCTCAGCTGCATAGGGCTGTGATCCTAGGGAGCCACTGTACTTTTGATGAGTACCACAAATGGGGACTTTATTTCCTCTTACCACCTTTCTCCTTTCTTGAGAGGGACCGTGGTCAGTGATAACACCTGGAATCTGGATTCCGAAACAGCCACTCCCATCTTAATGGGAGCTGGGGCCACTCCGGAGGCGAGTGAGAAACCCACGCCAGCACACACTCGTCCTGGGCTTTATGGCCTCTGCACACCAAGACCTCAAATCCAGGAGTTTCCACCTCCAGGGTGTCACTTCCTGGAGGGAGCATGGCACCTGCCCCCCATGGGTCTCCTAGAGACTGAAGTCAGTCAGGTCCTCACCAGGACACAAGCTCAGACTCACAGGACTTGCAGACAGGACCCAAAGCCAGGAAGGGGGCGGGTGCCTACAATGGGATGGCAGTGCCAGCCGGGCCTCATTCCTAAGGTAGTTGCTTGGCTCTCGGGGGTGGGAGGGGTCTGCCTGTGGGAAGGGCTTTTGTCTCCTCTCTGGACACAACATCCCTAAGTTCCCCATACCAGGCTGAGTCAAGTCCGTGGCGTGGTAGGAGGCACAAAAGCTGGAGGCTGACATGGGCTGTGACTGCCCGCTAAGCCCTCTCCACACACTTCCATCCTATATAAACCGGAGCTGGATGGAGTCAGGTCTTAAAAACAGGCGCTTCCTTCCTGTTTCTCCAGGGTTGAGATGCCTTCCCTGGCATGGCCTGTCCTCCCACGCTCCCCAGGTTGCCCTGCACCATCCCTGCCCCAAAGCAGAGCTCCCTTGGAGCCTGCCCTTCACTGTCCCCAACTCCTCCCTCCCTGTGGCTTTGAAAGCCACATGAGGCTTGTTTCCATCAAGGGAGAGGGGTGCACTGGGCCACTTCCCAGGTCTCTGGAACCCTGCTCTGGTCACCCTGCCCCAGCTAGTGCAGGCCCTTAGCATCTTCCATTCCCTCCAGCCACTACCCTCCCATGCCCACCTGGGCTCCATGGTGCCTTCAGGAAACTCATGGGACACAGGAGTCAGGGTCACTTGGCTTTGCTGGTCAAAGGCACC